TTGGTTAACCACATCTTTCCATCTTTTTTATTATTTTCTTATAAAACTATTATTATATCCATTAAGGTTTCAAGTTGTTTGATTTTGCCCAGAAAATGTCTCTGTAAATTACCATTTAATTAACATAAAAAACCAGACCAATTCATTACTCTCTCTTCTTTAAGCTGTTTAAATCATCTGCACGACGAGACAAGGTTAAGGAAACCAATACCAAAGATTGAAGCTTTGAAGTCAAAATCGTCAGGTATCTTCAAATCTCTCTACAACTTCAAGGAATCCTTACAACCCTGATGATGATGAATGATGATGGTAATCAGATCTTAGCCGTTGAAAATCAAGAAATGGGAGATGGACCTTTAATCATAGCGGTTGCGATCAAAGGGAACAATAGCAAAACTAAAGGTGTTGTTCGATGGGCACTTCAACAATTTGCTTCTCAAGAACATGTTGTCTTCAAGCTCTTACATGTCCAACCTAGTAAGTCAATTATCTGGACTTTTACTTAAGTTGCAATCTTTAAGTCAAAAATTGGATCTGATTTTCTTTTCTTTTTTTGTTAAAAATATATAGGAGATTCGAATACGGGTTCGACCAGAAGACAAGATTCAAGCACAACAGTGTACAAGAAAGATGTTGATAGAAAAACCAGAGAGATGCTTCTTCCAAGCAGAGACATGTTTCTTCATAGAGAGGTATGTGTCACAGTTGATTTGATTTGATAGGATTAGCTGATGTTTCATGTTTCTGTTATTCTATTTTTGAGAATCTGATAATCTTGTGAAATGTGAAAGGTTCAACTGGATATAATGGTGCTTGAATCAGACGATGTAGCTGATGCAATCTCTAAAGCAGTTCAAGATCATGGTATAAGTGAGCTAGTCATTGGAGTATCCTCTTCTATCATCTTCTCATGGTAACATTTTGAATACTCTCTCAACTTGCGGTTTCTCTGAGTTTTTTCTGTCGATCCGATTCTTTAAATCTTTTGTTCGTTTGCAGGAAGTTGAAGAGAAGCAACTTATCTTCAAGAATCCCAGATGCCACACCAAGATTTTGCACAGTTCATGTTATCTCTAAAGGAAAGCTTCTCAATGTTCGTAAATCGGATATAGACATCGAAACGAGCATCGCAGATGATAGAAGCGAAAGCCGGTTCTCTTCAAGTAGCCATTCAGGTATATAAACTAACTCTGTAGGATACAAATTAAAACCTGTTTTTACCTGCTAGGTTTTGATTGGTTTTTGTAAACATTTTAGGGTCAGTAAGTTCCACATCAAGTCATCAAATCTCATCGACACCTTTACTCTTTCAAAGAATCCAAGCACTTTCAACCGTGAACCAAAAGGTTGGAACAAACATTGGAAAACAGAACAATGAACCGCATCATCATCGTCATAACAGAGCCGAGTCTCTAGACGTGGATGAATCAAACCTACTAAACCAGAAGGGCTTTTACAGAACAAACAGCTCAGGGATTGGTTATGGAGGAAGTGATATTCACAGCTGGAGAAGCTCTCAGATGGAAGAGGCTTCAAGCTCAAGTACCTATAGTGACCCTACTTCATCTAGTAGCCAGGTTTTTACTTTCGTCTCAAAAACCAAATTGGCAAATGAGTCAATGTATGCATTAAGTACTTTTACTAATGTAGTTTTCATAACATGCAGATGAATAAAGACTTTGAGTTAGAGAAGCTGAAGATTGAACTTCGTCACATTAAAGGAATGTATGCAGTTGCTCAAAGCGAAGTCATTGATGCTTCTAAAAAGGTTCATTGTTAGTTACAATATTTGGGATTTTAAGACTCTAGCTTTTTTCGATATTGAAACATGATTGGTATTATTTGTTTTGCATTTTATCAGATGCAAGATCTGAACCAGCGGAGGTTAGAGGAAGCTAATAGGTTCAAGAACTTAACGATAAGAGAAGAGGAAGCGGATGAAGTGGTGGAAATGGAGAAGGAGAGACAAGAAGAAGCGGAAAATGAAGCTGAGCTCGTGAGAGAATGCATTGAGAGAGAAACCGAAGAGAGACTTGAGGCGGAAGCAAGAGCGGAAGAGGTTAGAAAAGAGAAGCAGAGGCTAGAGGATGCACTTGAAGGTGGACCGCTTCAACGCCAACAATACATGAAATTCGACTGGGAAGAGATCGTTGATGCCACGTCATCCTTCTCCGATGAACTTAAGATCGGGGTGGGCGGTTACGGAAGCGTGTATCGGTGTAACTTGCACCACACGACAGTAGCTGTCAAGGTTCTTCATTCAGACAAAAGTAGCTTAACCAAACAGTTTCACCAAGAGGTAAAATTAACACATAACTCACTTCTTAACCTCCAACCAAAATTACTCTTCTGCTAAAAACAATGCCGTTTGTTCAATGATACTTCTTCAGCTTGAGATTCTAAGCAAGATTCGTCACCCACACTTGCTTCTTCTCCTAGGCGCGTGTCCTGAGCGCGGCAGCTTAATCTACGAGTATATGCACAACGGAAGCCTTGAGGAAAGACTCATGAAACGCCTACCAAACAGTAACGTGTCACAACCGCCTTTAAGGTGGTTCGAGCGGTTCAGAATCGCTTGGGAGATCGCTTCAGCTCTGTTTTTTCTCCACACAAACGAACCAAGACCAATCGTCCACCGCGATCTCAAACCGGCCAATATACTCCTAGACCGGAACAATGTGAGCAAAATCGGAGACGTAGGACTCTCCAAAATGGTTAATCTCGATCCTTCTCATGCCTCAACGGTTTTCAACGAAACCGGTCCGGTCGGAACATTCTTCTACATCGATCCTGAGTACCAAAGAACAGGAGTGGTAACCCCGGAATCTGATATCTACGCGTTTGGAATCATACTTCTTCAGCTAGTCACAGGTAGATCCGCGATGGGTTTGGCCCATACGATAGAGAAAGCTTTGAGAGATCAAACCGGGAAATTTACAGAGATTTTAGATAAGACTGCCGGAGATTGGCCGGTTAAGGAAGCGAAGGAGATGGTTATGATAGGGCTTAGATGTGCGGAGATGAGAAAGCGTGACCGTCCTGATCTAGGGGAAGAAATTTTACCGGTTCTTGAACGGTTAAAGGAATTTGCGTCTAGCGCAAGAAACATGTTTACTGAAAACCTAATTGTTCATCATCATAACGCTCCGAGCCATTTCTACTGCCCAATAACAAAGGTAAATATGATAATCAAATCTCATGTCTTATCTCAGGTTTTGTTATTTTTTCTAATGTGTGTTTTTGATTTGGTTTTATGGTTTCATTGATGAAATTTAGGATGTGATGGAGAACCCATGCGTTGCTGCGGATGGGTATACATACGAGAAGAGAGCCATTAAGGAATGGCTTCAGAAGAATCATAAATCACCGATTACGGATTTGCCCTTCCCTAATGATTCTCTACTTCCTAATCACTCTTTGCTTTCTGCAATTAAGGTGTGGAGATCACAATTAATTAAATAAATTAAAAGGTTCATACGGTTAAATTCGTCATTTAACATGCATCGGTGTGATTTAAGATTTGCCCAAAAATATGCATCGTTGTAATTTTTTTTTGTCATACCATTCAATTGTGCGTAGAAGTAGATAAACGTTGATAATATACGCGATTTTTTTTTTGTATGTAAAAGTTATTGTATTTTATAGGTTTTGGCTGCACATTTGCATGAAAATATAAGAGTGTGGGTTTTTGCTGTATCCTATTTTCTTGTAAAATATCCGTTAGCAAATGTGATATCTTTTAATTATAAGAAGATACGTAATGTAACATATCAATCCAATACAAAAGAACAAACATTATACAAAACCACAGTTTTTCTAAAATCTTTAGCTGTGTATGATTTGATCAAAGATGAGACAGGATGGTAAAGCTGGCCTTTAGTTTTCCACTACGAAGATACCATATCTTTTACTGTCTGGTATGTTTTACTGGCCTTTAGTCTCAAGACTCTCAACGAACAATTGCATGGTATGCTTAAAATATTCAATTAATATGTTCTTTCAGGCGATTTTGTTGGATTTCTTAACTTTGCATAAGAATATAATTGTTAACTAGGTTAGTAACTTAGTATACTTTTGGAGATCTGTCACCTAGGGCATTCAATGGTGTGGGTTCTAACTTCTATATAATATTGCTATGAAAGACATAAATATGAAAATAGAATAATAAGTAGCCATACAAATACTGAATGATTGAGTCTATCTAGAATAAAATTGGTTACCATGAAGACATTTAACATAAAACATAAAATTCTTACAAACAAAATTTGATATAGTTTACAAAATGGATATACAATATATAAATAGAAAAAGCTTTATCCAAATATGCAGTGATCAAATATTAGAATGGAAATTATGCATTAAAATAGAAAAAGGAAAAAAGTAGTAAAATCTCTAAAAATTGTAACTAAAACCAAAAGTAGCCGATTGAGTTGTGGTTGTTGAAAGGCGAGTGACATGAAGGTCCCCTTCTCACAGTCCTTCTTTGATACGTATGGTGTTTTGGTGGGGGCTATACAATGGACCATTCGACGTGGGAGAATAATTTTGTCAAAATCCTAATTTAGATTTTCTCTAATTAAACACTTCACTAACCTTCTTTTTTTTTTTGGGGCTAATTTTCAGTGTAATCTGGACATAAATATTTATATAGAAATTTTCACTACATTTCTAAATTCAAAAATATTACAATTTGTTCATTAGTAACCCAAACAAAAAAAAAAACAGAAAAAAAAAACTCAAAGTACAACTCCCATGATGGCAAAATCTAATTCCAAGATGACAAAGTTAAATTAGTCCTTCCAATAAATTGACCTATTTGGATTATACCGGTAGGTCATAAAACTGTACACAATTGGTTGAGAACTTGGGAGGAGAGAATAAAAACACATTTTGAATAATAGCCAACAAACATACAACTCATAAAAGTCCACATTGATACAACTAAAACATGTTTCAGATCTAATATATATCATTTACACTTCATCTACATCACACACCCATTCACATATCTGTGTTACTGTGAACAAAAGAAAGTTTTCAATTATTCATACCTTTTTTCCTTTTTGTATCCTCACACCTAAATAAAGATTCCAACTTTAAAGTCTGTCACTTGATACCCAAATCCGAAAAAGAACCGAAACGTTTCTATGAGATGAGAACATCCCATTTGCTAAAACTGATACTTGCAGTATCTCTACCAACAACATTCTTAATCACAGTAGCCATCATCACCATATTCTTCATCTTCTGCAGAAGAAGAACAGAAACAGAGATCAGTGAAGCTCAACGCGACGTAGAATCTCCTTACGAGAAACAAGATTTTTCTGACGTTGGATCGGAAACAGAGGAGGAGCTTTTCATCTTCCACGGTGGAGAAGATCTCACGATCTGCGACATCCTCGATGCTCCAGGAGAAGTCATTGGGAAATCAAGCTATGGAACATTGTACAAGGCGACTTTGCAGAGAAGTGGGAAAGTGAGGGTTCTTAGGTTCCTTCGACCTTTGTGTGCAGTGAGATCGGACTCAAAGGAGTTTAATGGCGTCGTCGAGTTGCTAGGATTCGTCCGACATGATAATTTGGTTCCTCTGTTAGGATTCTATGTTGGTGATAGACGAGAGAAACTTATGATTCATCCTCTCTTCGGTTCCGGGAATCTTTCTGAGTTCATCAAATGTAAGTCTCTGTTTTATTACTCTCAGTTTTTCTTTTTTCCTTCTCGAGAGAAAAGATTAAAGGAACAAAACTTTATAATTTTCAACAAAACTGGGTTTAACTTTTAGCTGTCTTGATTCGATACGTATCTATCTTCGTTTATGGATTCTCTTTTCTCGGAGGAAAAATAAAAACAGAGTCATGAGTTCTTATTTTCCCGGGAATGTAATTGAAGATATTTTTCCGTAAGATGGAATCAATCATATTGGTAACTGTAGTCGATCCAGAAGAATTTGTCTTATCTTTTACACTTTTATAAACTGTAACATGTAGTAATTGGTTTTTTTCTCTGACAAGTATTTTTTTGCTCTATAGGATAAACCATTATTGATCTATCTTTTGTCGGTAACTTACTTTTTTTTTTTTTTGTCACTTCCCACTTCTTACGTTTACTATAATAGTACTATCTATATAAGACAAAAACTCTTCTAGATCTCGTTCCTTTAAATCTTTAGAATCTCAACATCAGCATTAGTTTTCTAATCAGTATTCAATATGTTTTCTAAAAAACAGAGCATAGTTTTGGCAGGTGGAGATGTTGACGCACACAAATGGAGCAACATTTTGAGCATCACCATTGGAATAGCCAGAGGACTTGATCATCTCCACACTGGAATGATTGTTCACGGGAATCTTAAGTCAAAAAACGTTCTCTTGGAACAGGGTTTTAAGCCTAGAGTCTCCGATTTCGGCTTGCATTTGCTCTTGAACCCCGCCGCTGGGCAAGAGATTTTAGAGGCTTCAGCTGCAGAGGGGTACAAAGCGCCTGAGTTGATTAAGATGAAGGAAGTAAGCAAGGAGAGTGATGTGTACAGTTTCGGTGTGATCATGCTTGAGTTAGTCTCTGGTAAAGAGTCGATAAACAAGAATCCAACGGGGACTGTTCTTGATCATAATAGTTTGTCAAATTTATACCGTCCTGAGATTCTTAGAAGATGCGTGAAAGATGGAAATGGCGTGACCGAAGTATGTGTTCTCGAGTACTTTCAGCTTGCAATGTCTTGTTGCTCTCTATCGCCTTCTCTTAGGCCGAGCTTCAAGCAAGTATTGAGGAAACTTGAAGAGATCAGGAAATGCTAGTTTCTGGAACAGACCTGGCAAGAGAAATTTTGAATCTTCCAAGTTGTCAAATACTTTTTTTGCAAGATCGATTAACAGCATAGAGCGGAGTCTACAGTGGAGAGTTCATAGGGATGGCCGGATGGTACAATATATATAACAAATCCTATCTTGTGGATAACAATTTCTATATATAACAAAGAAGTAGTTAGCCTGATTATCAACAGAAGTAGCTGAAGATGGATCGAATTTTTGCTTAGGCAGGAGAATACCTGAGAGAATAGCCAACAAGAGCTGGAAGAACATCATAGAACATCATCTTCTTGAATGTTTATTGTCCATAAAATTGTATCTTGTAGCCTGCCTCGGTCTGTGCAGCAGGATATATGATGCTTGAGTTAGTATACCTGAGATCTCCAAGGAGATCTTTGCGGTTTTATGCAAGTATCATGAACTACTCGTGTGGTGTATGTTATAACCATATATTCAACACGTTTTACCCTGTACTTTATTCATTAATACATTCAGTGTTTTGTATATGTCCTCCTTCTGGGGATGGTATTGATCCACAGAGCAAAACTTGTGGAGTTTACCTCCAATGGAAATCCAGCTCAGTCCAGGATCTTTTCTCATGGCTTGAGATTTCATCATATTTCTTACACTCAGTTCATCTTCAATATTCCCAGCTTCTCTATATGTATTTGACAAGGGAACAAGAGCAACTAAATCATCAGGATTATAAGAGAGAACCTTGTGAGCAAACTCAATGTTCCCATGAACCGTACATGCTCCAAGCAATGCTGACCAGATTTTCTCATCAGGTTCTATCGGCATCTTCATTATAAATTTCCATGCTTCAAGTTAGGCAGCCCACGCGGCCCAGGATATCAACAACACAAGCGTAATGTTCAATTAAGTAGCGAACTTAAGAAAACAGATTTACAAAAACGGCATGTTGTGTTGTAACTTTTATTATGAACGACATGGTGTTATGCACCTTCGGTTTGGCTAAACTAACCACGCTTTGATAAGAACTGTTTTCCGGTTTGGTTCAAATTCAAATTAATTGCGGTTCGAAAGCTTATGATTTCGGATTGAACACCGTGACCGTCTTCGTTTTGGTGATCTCTCTGTTGTGAGTTTCTCACAGACTCTCTAAATATTTTCAATCCCACAAATTCGGATTGATCTCCGTACAAATGGAAGCTTCGATTTCGTTTCTTGGTTCAACAAAAACCAATCTTTCCTTGTTTATCCCTTCTTCGAACTTCCTTCATCGTCGTCGAGATTTCCCGCTTCCTGCTTTGAAATTGAAGAAAGTTTCAGTGTTGCCGCGAGTCTTGCACCAGAAACGCCTAATCAGAGCTCAATGCTCCGATGGATTGAGACCAGAGGACGAAGATGGGTTTGTGCTAGAAGACGTCCCTCACTTGACCCTCACTTGACCAAGTTTCTACCTGATTTACCGGTATGTATAATCTCTAACTGCATGAACTTCTGCAATGGGAGATTTCTAAATTCAAGTTTAGGATTTGACTGGTGTATGTCTGTAATATGTTAATATATTTTGTCCAGTTGAAGGTAATACCTTTTGTGCTGGGTTAAACTAATCTTAGTTCCCTAACTCATGATTTGTTATTGATATCACAGTCGTACCCAAATCCATTGAAAGAAAGCCAAGCATACGCCATTGTTAAGTAAGTTATATTTCTACACGGCAAAGTTAAGTCAGCGAATAGATCTGTCGAGGGTTGTAATGTATTGTTCGTACTGTTTCTGTAGGCGAACCTTTGTCAGTTCCGAAGATGTTGTTGCACAAAATGTAAGCTGAATGGTTTTATTCAAAGCTCTTATTATTTTGTCGATTTATGGTTCTTTGCTTGCTCAAGTTCCTTCATCTTTAGATTGTAGTCCAGAAGGGAAGTAAACGAGGAGTGCACTTTAGGCGCGCAGGACCTCGAGAAAGAGTATGATTTCTTCTTAAAGTCTTGAACTTTGTCAAGAATTTTTGCAACTGAAACATGTGAAGTTTTGTTTTCATAGGTGTATTTCAGATCAGATGAAGTAAAAGCTTGCATAGTGACTTGCGGGGGGTTGTGCCCAGGAATCAATACAGTTATACGGGAAATTGTATGTGGATTGAACAACATGTATGGTGTCAATAACATTCTTGGCATTCAGGGTGGATATAGAGGCTTTTACTCCAAAAACACTATGACCCTGACGCCTAAAGTTGTTAACGATATTCATAAACGCGGTGGCACTTTTCTTCAAACCTCAAGAGGAGGACATGATACAACGAAGATTGTTGATAACATTCAAGACAGAGGAATTAATCAGGTAGCTAACATATTTGATATCCATTTTCTACAGGTTTCTTGATTTTTATGTAGTTTCGTTGGAATTACTACTGAGATATACTAACCTCTTGTTGATGTGTGTTTCAGGTGTATATTATTGGAGGTGATGGTACACAAAAGGGTGCAGAGAAAATATACCAGGTTATTCATTATCACATAGTAGACTAATTGTTGCGTGAATGTAGCAACTAAGTAATTCTAATTAATACTTACTTCATATTCTGTGAAGGAAGTCGAAAGGCGTGGTCTTCAAGTGGCGGTTTCTGGCATTCCTAAGACAATAGATAATGATATTGCTGTAAATACGCATTGATAATTTTCAACCTAAGCGTCTACTTGTCTCTCACATGGAGTTTCTTATACATCTTCTTCACCCATTGTTCTAGGTTATAGACAAATCTTTTGGCTTTGATACCGCTGTTGAGGAAGCGCAACGAGCTATTAATGCTGCCCATGTAGAGGTCGAGAGTGTGGAAAACGGAGTTGGCATCGTTAAACTCATGGGCAGATACAGCGGTAGATATCCTGTGGCACATGCGGTCTACTTTCTTTTGTGAATATGAAACTTTAACTTTTGGCTCAAATTTTGCAGGTTTTATTGCCATGATTGCAACTTTAGCAAACCGTGATGTGGTAATAGATTATTTTAATTTTTTTAGTTTTCACGAACTCACCATCAAACGTCTTTATTGTGAATCTGTGATGATAATGTCAGCTTCGGAATCCGACAGGATTGTTGCTTGATTCCGGAGTCTCCATTTTTTCTTGAAGGAAAGGGTGGGCTCTTTGAGTTTATTGAACAACGGCTCAAAGAGAATAAGCACATGGTTATTGTAATAGCCGAAGGGGCTGGACAGGATTATGTTGCTCAAAGCATGCGTGCATCTGAAACTAAAGACGCGTCAGGAAATAGACTTTTGCTTGATGTTGGGCTATGGTTGACTCAGCAGATAAAGGTATTGATCGAAACTCGAAAGCTAAGATATGGTCTTTAGATGTTTTTCCTCAAACATTCAAGATGAGTTTTGTGATCACAATGTTGCAGGATCACTTTACAAATGTTCGGAATATGACTATAAATATGAAGTACATAGGTATATCTTCAGATTCACCGTATCTATGTTGTTAACGCTCTTCTTTGCATTTCATTAATATATTATCCTGTTGAACAGACCCAACGTATATGATAAGAGCAATACCAAGTAACGCATCAGACAACGTCTATTGCACTCTTCTTGCCCAAAGTGCAGTTCATGGAGCAATGGCTGGGTACTCAGGTTTCACGGTAGGACCAGTTAACAGCAGACATGCTTACATCCCAATTTCTGTAAGCTTTTATTTCTTACTTCTCCAATCATTCTTAGACTACATAATCAATGAGGAGCCTTAAACCTCTGTGGTTACAGTTAATCCCATTATGTTTTACTTCTGCAGCGGGTGACTGAAGTGACAAATACAGTGAAATTAACTGATAGGATGTGGGCTAGACTGCTTGCATCGACAAATCAACCGAGTTTCTTGACTGGTGAAGGAGCATTGCAGAATGTGATTGACATGGAAACGCAAGAAAAGATTGATAACATGAAGATATCTTCTATCTAAGAATCAGGTCAGTTGATATTCATCAACTGTTCCAAATGTAAACTAGATATATATGCATAAAAGATAGCTTTATCAAAACCACGAAGTCAATCATTAACTATAAGAATTATTTGCTGTAGTTATTCAGAATAATAATGTTCAACATCCATTTCAGGGATGAGATTGAGATTGTTCATACATATCTTTCTCTGTTTACTTTTACCATTATGCAACTTGGGCATCTCTCCTGTCTTTAGCTGTTGCGTGTGGTCCATCCAATTCCTTGTCATATTTAAAAAATGAATGCTGACTTGTACCCAACCATGAGACAAAACTCTGGCTGCTACACATTCTTTAAACTTGGTCCCTCTTGCAACTTGTTCATGTACTCAATTCACTAAATTCACGCTTTCTGGGCATGTGAACTTATTACCTCAGTGATATTGAAGACTGGAGTCACTGTACAATACTGATCAGTGTCATTGGATTAAAGTTTCTCCTTTTAGCTTATGTTTAGGTTTTTCAGGTTGAAATTCAATTAAGTGCGATAGAACTAGATTAAGAAATAGATGTAGTCGGTCTATTTAGGTCCTCTTGTCTTTCCAGGAAGTTTAATTTCTGAGAAACCGTCTTTGGGACAAGAACTTTGCTTGTAGAACCAGAAGCTCTTTAAGACATGAGAAAAACAGAGAAGTTCCATTGTTCCAGGAACTCCTTAGTACATATTTTGCAAGAGTTTTCTTCAGTACACTAATCTAACATTTTCTTGGCTCTATCATGATGCTTCACATACTTAAGATATTAACCTATATATATACTAATCAAACATTACTATTCCCACTAGTTTGATGACGATGATGAAGTACTGGTTGTTGTTCCTTGAGGCTGCGGTACATCGCTTCTCCTCCTCTTCCGGCATGAATTGACTGGAGCATCATACTTTCCGGCATCCAGAGGAAAGTTGAGCACAGCTTTTCTTCCCCTGAGCTTAAAAGCTGCATAGTCATAAGCCCTTGCAGCATCGATATCACTCTCGAAAGTGCCTAACCAAATCCTGGATCCTTTCTTGGCCGGATCTCGAATCTCTGCTGCAAATTTGCCCCATGGTCTTCTTCTCACGCCTCTGTAATGTCTCGTCTCTTCAAACCTCTTTGTTTTTTTTCGGTTCGAGACAGTCGCAACCTGAGGTGATGTTGTTGTTGATGATGATGATGATTCTGCTTCCACTTGCAGAAACTCTTGGACGTAGGAATCTAGATCAAGGACAGGGGAACTAGGTTCCAGCTTAGGAACTGGGTTAAAGGGTTCTAGAGACCAGAGTCCTGAGACAAAAGCAGTATCATCAAAGACAAAATCTTGAATGAAATCATCAGGGATCATCAAGTCGTCAAACAGATGTTTCTGTATGACATCCATATCAGAGCTTTCCTCAAAAGTCGCCATTTTCTGTTTTACTATTCTTTTGCAGACAAGACAGTAGAAGAAAAATAGTTTGCAAGTGATGGATGCTTGAAGAAAAGTTTTGATCAGTTTGTGTGCTATATAAAGAAAAGGAATCCTAAACACATGTGTGTTTCGCAGCCATGGGTGAGGTGTCACACAAGTCTCGCTCTGTGTCTCTCTGGTTTTAACTTTGTAGGTCCAAGTCTTATCCATTAAACATTTATGGGGACAACTTAAGATATTTTGTCAGGACCCTTCAAGTTGTGCCAACTTGATCTTGTCTATTGTGATGGTGACAAATTTCACTGACATCCATTTGATTCTTCTCGAGTTTTAACCCCTTGAGAGCCACCCACGGTTCGATTCGAATCCTAAGTTATATGTCTTCGCAAAATGGCTTTCTTTTTAGCTTTTTAGTTGTGACTATTTGTCTTAATCTTAACTAAAACTTTGATTGAGTTAGTTATGGTCGTTAGGTTCATTTGGAAGAAAAAAACACATACACATACATTTGAATTTGTACATGTAATTACATAACACAAAGAGACTTGAGCTTGTGGTGTGATTTACAAAACAAAGATCGAGTAAATGTGATATTCGTACTAGTAAATTTGTATTGGCTTCCCCTCGAGTTAAAACTCTAAATATCAAATGATATTTTGCAATTTCACATTCGAGTAAAAGTTAAATAATTAAATATTTATATGCTTCTCTGATAACTATCACCCAAAGAGGGAGAGACACATTCATGAAATTGCTTTTTCTTGTAGGGTTGTCATTGCTATCTACTTGCTAGGATATGATTTGGAAGCCACTTGATGATATTTCTTTGTTTCTACTTAACTTCGTTTAGGGCTCCACATGTGTAACCAAACCTTACCTTACCCTCTTGCTAATCTAAAATTAACATTAGTTCATGTTCATCCTTCTTTTGTTTTTTTTTTAATAACATCTAAGATAATGTTAATTATATACTTTTTATGGATGCTTTCTGTAGATAATCTTAGACGGCATTATCTATTTTGATTGGTGTCTTCTACTATTGAGATTTTGAAAATCTAGCTTTTCTTCTAGATTTGTGTGTAATTTACTAATTATTGTATTTTCCACTTTTGCTTACACACTACTTGTATTTAGCTCCGAATTTAATTTTTCTTGCCAAATTTTTTAATCTATTGACTATTTAGCAGATGGGGAGGTACGAGTGTACGACTTAACAAAAAAATTACTTAACGAAATTTTTATATGATCAACAAATATAACATACAATATTTTCAACATCCAAATATTCTTCTAAAAAAATTAATGAATAAAATGATTGGTGTAATACTAATTTGATAGTTGCACACTAACGCTACCCTTAATAAATATTATACAAATAATAAATGAATCATGAGAGTGACGCAAGTGAAAACGTCATCTTCCGTTGACAATTCCCAAATTCAAGTGACGGAGATAACGGAGAAGTTGGGAGACGTCGGAGATAACGGAGGAATACTGAAGATACCATCACCTGCTCCCACATCCCAAAACCCCATCCAACTTGACGGCGTCAGAGGTACCGTCTCTACCTCAGCCCCCATCGTGTCCGACGACGTAATAGTACTACTCTCTTCTTCCTCCACTTTAACCCTAGCCTCCTTCTCCTCTTCCGGCGGAGAGCTCTTGATCCGCTTTCGTTTCCCTAATCCGACGACTCCTTCCTCAAAACAAGTTTCGGACGTAACCCTAACATCGAGAGGAAAATTCAAGATAGCTTTTCTTCCACGCAACTTAAACGCTGCTTGGTCATAAGCTCTTGCAGCTTCCAAGGACGTGTCGTAAGTCCCAAGCCAAATCCTAGAACCCTTTTTGTTCGGATCTCTAATCTCCGCAGCGTATTTACCCCACGGCCTTCGCCTCACTCCCCTGTAGTGCCTCTCTTCCTCCTCTGTTTTCTCCGTCTTTGTTGAGACCGTTCTCGGGACGGATAGATTCTGTAAAGGCGGTTTACGCCGGTTAAGAGTCGTGTTCGGTCGAGGGGATTGGTTTGTTGTCTCGGAGTGAAGGCTGTGAGCTTGATTGGTAGAAAGAGATGGTTCAGATTCGTGAAACGTAAAACAGGAAACTTTGGTTTCCATGGAATTAGCAAAGTCTGTGAGAAGGTGTTGGCTTATGAATTCGATGGCTGAAGATTCTTGTTTAGTTGCCATCTCTTTACTCTTGAGTCTTGAATAAGTAAACTCTCTTGATGTTTAATTTTTGTATGTGTGGAAGTGGGAAGAAGAGTGATATGGTGATATATAGTGGTTAGAGCGTCAAAACTAAAGAGAGGGTTCGAGGGACTTTCGTGGATCGGACCGAGAAAGATCATACTATAGCTTTGTCTTGGACTTCTTATTACTTTTGTTTTCTTTCTTTCTACTTTATATTTTCATTATTTCTCTTTCTTTTTGTTCTTTTGTGTTATTATTCCTCTACATGGACTTTTATCATTTTAAAAGTACTTATCAAGTTATCATGATGACTCCTTTTATTTTTTTATTATGCACAGAGTTTTAAAAACTTTAGTCTATATATACATGACTGTGATATTATTATTTAGGTTATAATTTATGTGGAGTTGTTTGATCGAGACTTATTTATAATTTAACGAGTTTAATGTATTGGGGAAAACCTATCAAAAAAGCTTCTAAAGTCTAATATACAATTATACATGCATGTAAAAATAATTTTATATTTGTTGGGAGACTTTTTTTTTTTTTTTTTGAATGATAAAAGACTTCGAAAATACATTTTTAATCAATTCAAAATTTCAAACACATACACTTGCACGAATTCTACGCATTGATCTGATTTCACATCTTCATCTCAATAACTCAAAGTTATTATAGTGTCTAATAAGTTTTTAAAATTGCATCTGCCAAAGCCGATCTCCTACGTACGAAACACAATTACACGATGCAACGGTACGAAACACAGTTACGAGAAGCATATATAATTGTATATGTTTTCTTTAATTTACTCTAACTTGTTATTATTCATACATCAAGAGAAAACGTAAGTGAATAGTATGATGGGTTGTTGTTTCACGTTGCTTAAGCCATTGAAGAAGGTAAGAGCTTTCGGGGAGGTACATACTTGCAAACAGCCGTACATTCTCGTTTATTAAGATAACAGGTCTTCGGTTTCCCAGCACAGCAAAAACACCATTTTTGATTTTTGTGTTTTGCACATAGTACACGCAGACACGATGCTGGATCTAACTGGAGGCCAGCTTCAGAACCTTTTGCGTTTCCAATTATAACCAATATATAAAAATACATAGGAGTTAGAAACACGATTACAGTGGTGATGCTTGAATGAGATTATAGTGTTATAATAACATAATTGTATATATACATACATTCATGTAGAGGAACGAGGGAAATCATGAAGAGGCAAAGGATAGCAAAATGTGAAGATGACATTGTTGTGATACCTCAAAAACACACTGAAACGTTGTTTGCTATTTTATTGTCGAAGTCCTCACAAGCAATATGGATTTATATAGTACTACTAATTTAATTAGTAGTGTGCATGTCTCTCGTATGGTGTGATATCCACAAAACACGGTTAGATTTGTTTTACTAGTTTTTTGTTCTTTCATATTTCCTTGGTATAATGGAACTGTTCAAATAAACCGTCAGTTTCGAGCATTTTCCATATCTCCCATGAAGGATGACGTATAACAGTCTATTGTGTCTTTTTTTTAAAGAAATAGTACAAGAGTAGTCGACAAGATATTAATGAATAGTCATCTATCAAACATAAATGGTTGCAAATATTGTAGGAAATAAAAAATATTAGACAATATCTATAAATTTGAAATGTTCAATTTGTTATATCCAAGAAATGAAGTTGAATTGTCTGACCAGTATGACCAAAGAAGCGACCACTCGTCAACCCCCATAGGCCATGGTTAAAATTATTTCGTTGGATCCACGAAGGAGCTTGCGCATCAACTTGCCAAAAATTGATATTTTATTACTCCATTAATTTTATATAGAATACAGTGTCAATTAACACCATTAATTTTTTTTGCTTATACAAGCAGTGTCAATTAACACATTTTTTTTGCTTAACTACAACTCACGCATTGGACCTTGGATTAATTATCGATTTTATTGGTATAATCACTTTGATATTCTTGTATAATTTGAATTTATTACGAAGAAGAAAAACAAACGAACGAGAGGCAAAATAATTGTGAACAAAAACAAAAGCAACATAACTTGGCGTGACGTAGTAGAGAAAACTTCACTCACAAAGGTGTCAGTTACATGCATGGACAATATACTCTCTTCAGACATGCGTCGTACACGTAGACTTGTTAATACAGAATCAGAGTCCTAACAAAATTTCTCTACTGCCAAATGCATTTTTTTCGACACGAAAGACAAACCGCCTCTTTATGCCGGTGTAGCCGTGGTAGCCCTTATGATCCTCACCGGTTTAGCGTTCGCCGGCATGGCCGTCGTGCTAGCCGTCATGATGCCGATTTTTGTGGTTCTTAGTCCGATTCTCGTGCCGGCAGTTATAACTTCAAGTGTTTTGGCTACGTGTTTCATAGCTTCTGGTAGCCTCGGAGCATCGGGGATCGCCCTCCTTGTCTGGCTCTACAAGTAAATTACTTTTTAAGTGATCAAGATTTTTACATCGAAAAAGTAATTAGTTAACTCTTCTTATAAAGCTTTAATTGAAACCATCCGGTTTTAAGACAAGCTCACATAATGCATGATAAATAGAACGTATGTTAATGTTTTAGGCGATTTTTATACCACACTCGTAGATAAAGTATATCACAAAAATGTTTATATAGTTGTATGAAACTGTGTGAGTGTGACTAACAATAAGGAAAGAAGAGCATTCCACAAGTACTTTGCATGCGCGAGGCGTTAGGCCTGAGGGTCTTAACAAGCTGGCAGGAGGAGATAAAGCGTCGGATGGAGATAAGCCATTGATGGAAGATAAACCGCCGGAAAAAGATAAGCCGGAGGAGGAAGACAAGCCGCCACAGAATGATAATTCGACCGGAGGAGAAAAGCCGGCAGGAAAAGATAAGCCGCTAGGAGGAGTTAAGCATGCGTCGATCCCTGAGATATCAAAGGTGCTTGCTTTATTAGTTATGTCCAAGTTTTTCGTTTAAGAATTTTATTTATTTATTTACATTTAGCAAGTTTTCGTTAATTTCTCTTATATATACTAATGGTAGGTTATGTTGGTGGAGCAAGAACCAATTGTCCCCAAGTGTTGTGGTACACGTACTTCTACTAAAAGGTCTCATCAATTTCGATTCGCCATGGATACTACTAAAGCACGATCTGTTTTTATGAAAGAGTACCAAAAAGTTCCTCGTGTAGGAGCTTTTGCGTATAAATACTTTACCTCTCGTGACAAAAAATACGTAAACCATATTCATATATGACATTCAGGACTTGGAAGGTTATTTAAAGGGCAACAACGATATACTCCCAAAATAAAGAGTTCAAACGTCAATTTATCATTTAGAAGGTATGGTATCCCCAAAATAAAATGTTTTTTTTTTCACCAATTAAATATGCTAGTAATGTGTTTTGCTAGTAGATTTTGTTAGGTTATGTATCACCACTGACCGCAATAAACAAATAGTTATAGGTTTTGAACAAAAACAATTTCCGTAAATAAGGAGGTCTTTGTATTCCTATATTGATCCAATTTTATAAAATCCAATTGTACCGCGCGCGTACATGAATTTATCTTATGTCTACTCAAAATTACTTTACTTCAAGATAATAAAATATCATAAACCATTGATAATATACATGAACAATTTATCATAAAATCAATTATTTTGTGTTTTAAGATTTTTTTCTTTCATATTTTGAGTAAGGAAACCACTGATATGTTCTATATAAATATATATAAGAATTTCTGTAAATATATATATATATATATATGAGATGTTAACTATTATGGATTAAGATAAAAGTAAGTAAATACCAACTGCATCAAGATTAGGATTTGTATTGATAAAAATATGGGTAACTTTAGGAAACAAATAAAAAAAAGATATAGAATATCTCACCTAAATACCCGGAAATTAATAATATCCAGTACATGTTTAGCTGGAAACCCAATCTAACGGCTGAAATCTCCAAGAATCCTATCTTAGAAAAAATCTCAAACGTTGATTATGATCTTACTCTAATTCTGCTGGATTTTTTCCTTCTGGTAAAAAAGAACTTCCAAAATAAAAGAAGAAAAATAAGGAAACGCTTTATCTCTTAAGGAAAATTAAAAATATAGAAAAGAAAAAAAAAGACACCAAGGACATTCACAAAAAACAGCTCACGCATATCCGGATATAAATCGTATTTATAATAATATTACACAGAGAGATTAAGATATAAATACAATTAGAGAGACCTTGAGATTCCCCAATTCTTGTGACGTAGAGAGAGAGAGAGAGAGAGAGAGATGGTGAAGGAGACGGTGACGACGGCTAAGACTTGTTCTCAGTGTGGTCACAATGGCCATAACGCACGTACTTGTCTCAGCGGTGTTAATAAGGGAAGCGTTAAACTGTTCGGCGTTAACATATCTCCTGATCCGATTAGGTCACCTGAGGGTACGGCGTTAAGAAAGAGTCTCAGTTTGGGAAACCTTGATACTTTTCTCTCTAACGATGATAGTAACGGTAGCGGTGATCCAATCGCCGCCGTTGAAGATACCGGTTATCACTCCGACGGTCAGATTCATTCCAAGAAGTGCAAAACCGATCATGACAAGAAAAAGGGTAATTTAATACTAGTTTTAATTGATGGTTTAATTAATTTCAAGAAACTACAAGGTTAATAGCAATATATGATTTAAAATCAAAATTCAGGGAAGCCATGGACGGAAGAAGAACATCGTAATTTCTTAATCGGTTTGAACAAACTCGGAAAAGGAGATTGGAGAGGAATCGCAAAGGGTTTCGTCACGACAAGAACACCGACCCAAGTCGCGAGTCATGCTCAGAAGTATTTTATTAGGTTAAACGTTAACGACAAGAGAAAAAGACGTGCTAGTCTCTTTGACATCTCTCTCGAAGATCAGGTTTTTATTTTATCTGCCTTGCTTCTCAAGTAATCCTGTAGAAAGAAGTCAATTCTTTATTTTTAGGGTTTTCATTTTTGGTTTTGGTTGAAACAGAAGGAGAAAGAGAGGAACTCTCAAAATGCATCAACACCAAAGACTCCAGCTCTAACCGGAGTATCTCAACAACCGGTGGTGCAAGGTCAGACTCAAACCGAGATTTCCAACAGGTTTCAGAACCTGTCGATGGAGTATATGCCAGTCTACCAAACCGTACCACCTTACTACAACTTTCCACCTCTTATGTTCCATCCAATGTACTACGCCAATCCTGAACAGATTAGGTTTGTTCACCCTTCTGGTATACCTGTACCAAGGCATGTACCGATGGGTATGCCTCAATCTCAGCCGAATGAAGCTAATTCTAGTGTGTCCAATAAAGACGGTTTGGAACTTGGTATTGGTTTGCCTCCACCTCCACAGGCTACCGGAACAACTGACTTGACGGGTCATGGTGTTATTCATGTGAAGTGAAATTACAACCATTTTTTGAGCATGATATATAATATTGCTAGGTATATTACATTTTTTTTGGTCACAGGGTTTTATTTGAATATATATACCTCTATATTCAGCAGTTTTGTCATCGGAGTATGTACAATTTCCTTTTTCCAGATTAGATTAAATAAAAATTATTTTTGGATTTCAATTTAGCTCGCTGCTCCTTTATTAACCCAAAAACAGAAAGAAAAAAAAAATCATAGTTTTGGTAAAGCTTTAAGATTAAGATAAAATTTCATTGGCTGATAAAAAAAAAAAAAGATAAAATTTCATCCCAAAAAAAAAAAAAAGATTTAAGATAAAAAAAAGCTCAAAGATTTAACTAGTAAAAGCCTTTGATCAATTTTCTTGAAGCTCGTCTGGTCCGACCATTGAGGTTTGGTTTGACTGAATCTCCGAGTTCTAATGTGGCGCCCAAGAAACCAGTTTGAGTTCCATCGCTGTCGTTGTCGATGTCTCCTTCGATTGTCAATCCTTCAATCCTAGCCGCTATAGATTCTTCTCTAATCCCAACATCAACATCTGCCGTTCCATTTTGCATTTTATGATTAACCAGAAAACATGTTAAAGAAACTAAAAACAAGTGTTTCATTTGGAAAAAAATCTTATTATCTAACGTCGATGCATTGAAAAAACCACATTTCAAGCCTGGTCTAGTTATATATTTTCAAAGATTAAATCATTTTCGATTCCGTGGTTTAAGTGTCAACAACATGTGTTTTGTTTCTTTTCACCTATTACCCGGACATGGTTTGATCAGCACAAGCATGCATATTTCTGGCTCTCTAGCTAATCATATGTGTATTAGTGTACGTACCTGGATTTGAGAATAACCAAAGTACGAGAGCGCATGCAAGAAGGACAAAAGGAATGATGTGAATAGCTTTTTCTGCGAATTTGGTACGTGACTTTTCATTCTTAAGCATTTCCTCTGGTGGCTTATTGTAAGAAGGTAGTTCGTTCTCGTCAAGAGGACCGATCACGGAGCCCATCCATAATCCCTTAGGTGGTGCAGATGAATAGTCATCTGTTACTCGATTCCAGCTCGTGGATCGATACATTTTGGTTTACAATCTTTGTTGATTGTGATCAGTGTGTTGTTACAAAACTCTATAAAACAAATATGTTTGTAAGATGTTTTTTTTTTTTGTGAAGAGCTTTGATCAGTTTATTTGTTACTATTTTAGTAATTTGTTAGTTACATCTGTGCTTCTTTGAAAAAGGAGGAAAAAACAATTTCCGGATTTGATTGCAAATTTAGAGCCTACTGTTTTGGTATATCTGGATCTATAATGACTTTGTCAAATCGTTGATTGGAAATCTCACCCGTTTCTTCGTGACAAAAACTTTTTCTTTTGATTCTTCTCAGTTTTTTTTTTTTAATATTAATTTTGTACAATAATTAATCTATGCTATGATATGAGAAAACTATGTGAGTTGGTTAAAAAAAAAAAAAATTTGTAGCTACTTGAAATCGATAAAATACTTTTGCAAACTATACAAATTCATCGACAAATATTAAATACCTTTGTAACAGCACAAGGTGTTACTGAGTTCGCAAAGCTATCGCTATTGAAAACGCAAACACAAACGCGAATTTTATACCGTCATAATTGGGGTACAAATAATGTATCGCAGAATCAGCCGACGTTTCCTCTTCACCACTCTCCTCTGTTTCTCTCTCTCTCTGTATCTGCAAAATTTCTCCATGAACATACTTAGCAAGCTCGGTATAGGATCAAGTAGACAAACCAACATGGATCCTTCACCAATCGCACAAGGTCCCGACGACGACGCTCCGGCGCCGGGAAACCAATTTGCTCAATTCGGCGCCGGTTGTTTCTGGAGCGTGGAATTAGCGTACCAGAGAGTTCCAGGTGTGACTCAAACCGAGGCTGGGTATTCTCAAGGGATCACGCACAGTCCTTCTTACGAGGATGTCTGCTCGGGTACCACGAATCATGCAGAGATTGTTCGTGTTCAGTATGATCCAAAAGAGTGTAGTTATGAGTCGCTGCTTGATTTGTTCTGGTCTAAGCATGATCCCACCACTTTGAATCGTCAGGTAACGAAATTTTTGCTCTTTTTGATGTCTGAGTTTGTTAATTCTGCTGAAGTTGTGATTTTAGAGATTCATGAAGATTTTTAGGGGTTTAAGGCTCTGCTACTGTGAAATTTGTGATGGTTATCTTTTATCTCAAAACTTGATCCTCTCTAGGGATTTCTTGAATATGAGACCTAGATAGATTGAGATCTAGATTTTAGATGATGGAGATACTTTGGATTCGTTTCAATTGTTGTTAGTATAAATTTAGGGTTGATGTCTGGAGCTGAACATAGAGAGACACATACATCATCTCTTTGATGTGGATATGAATGAGGCCATCGTTCTTCTCCTCTTTGGTCATCGTGCTCATGTTTATTTTGGTAATATTATTATAGAGCACTTAACCAGCTCTTAGTCAAGTTTTGTAGATCACTATTTTGTAGATGTATACACAAATATAACTTAGATGGTAGCTCCCCATAGTTCTCTAGACCAAAGAAGCTACATTGTTATGGACGCGGTTGTTTGTTATGGTGAAATATTTCAATCTTGTTAATCTTCTTATCGGAGACAGCTTCTTGAGTATAAGACTTCTTTCTCTGAAAATGTTTCTGACATTCATTGCCATACAACTCCATGTACTGAACTTTCATACTCTTACTCTGTTCAATCATTTCTGTTTTCTGCGAAGCTTACTTATCCTGCATTATGTTCTATTTTGTTTCTCTGTTTTTTAAAATAATTACATCCTTGCCTGATCAGGGAAACGATGTGGGAACCCATTACCGATCAGGGATATATTTCTACAACCCTGAGCAAGAGAAACTAGCACGCGAGTCTCTGGAGCGTCACCAGCAACAAGTTGAGAGGAAGATTGTGACAGAGATCTTACCGGCTAAGAAATTTTACAGAGCCGAGGAACATAACCAGCAATACTTGTCTAAAGGAGGGAGGTTTGGTCTCAAGCAATCTACTGCAAAAGGCTGCAACGATCCAATCCGTTGCTACGGGTAAAAAGCCTTGCCTCTACACAAAAGCAGAAGGATGCTTCCAGTTATCTATTTTAGAGTTTATAAATTTTGTGTGTAGAGATTGCAACTATCGTTGAAATTAAAGAAGCCGGGGGCTACTTATGTATCTTGTTCATAAAACGTTTTGAGTGTTTCAAAGCCTTTAGGTATATAGTATTGTTTGGATGGGTTTGGTTGTGTCACTGCCCTCGCTTAGCCTGTTCTTCTATTCTATGTTATTCTTGTACGTTTAATCAAAAAATAGCAGGTGTAAATAGGGTGAAAAGACCAAAGAGTAAATTGAATTCAAGGGTGATTTAACACTTTTTTCTGGAATTATCTTATTGCGTTAATGGTGGTGGATAAACGTCCTTTTAAGAATTATATTTCAGAATTTGGAATTGTGTTTTTAATTTTATTTAATTGGATATAGTCTCAACCAATATATATAAAATAATTTGTATCTAAAAATAAACACCGTTCAAGCAAGTGAAAAAGACAGAAGCGACAGTGATCTCGTGTCTTTAAAAATCTGCTTAAACAAATAAATTATACTACGTGTTGTTCATGATCTCTCTAACGTGAATAGCACGAATTTGAAAGTTCAGCCTCGCAACTCTCTTACGTGGCTTTCTCTCAATCGCGCTTCAGTTATATAATATGCTCTAAGTTGTGATTAAAAGGTTCATCTGTTTCGTCCATTCGTCGAAACTCCAAAGATTATTCTATTTGGATAATGTTTTTATAATGCTAGACGTTCTTATTGTGGATTAAGTATACTGCATGTTAAGATTTCAAACAAAAATACTATTATCTTGTTCCAAAATAAATGCGATGATTCACGAACGACAGCTAAAAGAAGCTTCGTGGAAAAACATGTTTCATAAGATAAAAGATCTAAAAAAGAAATAAGTTTACTTTAAACAATTGCAATAGTTTGAACTTTTAAGTAATTTATGCGAACTAGTTTCTAACCTTCTAAATCTTGTATCAATCGTATTAGTTCACTGAAATTATTATACTATTTTCTTATAGGATTATAATCTATGATTGTAAACCTAAACATTTTCATTTTTAATGAAATATTTACATTCTTAGCAAAAAAAAAAAAACTGTTTAACTGAGAGCATCCAAAATCTATGCTTAGTCACACTGACATACATTCTTGTATGGGGAAAAAGAAAAGACAAATGTGATCAAAACTTAGGGGGGGTTTCGGTAGGTGAAAGCAATTTAACTCCAAGGAAACCCAAATCTTAAGTTAGACCATCATTAACGATGGTTGCTTAGTGTTTCTTAGTAAAATCTTAGTTGTTTTTAGATTTAAGCTTTCTCAAACACAACCAATTAATCATATCCTCCTAATGTCAGAACTTAAGACAAAGACTACGTTCTTTTTCTCTTTTAGACACCACCATATATAAGTTTGCTGCAAGCATTTCAAATGAGCTACAATCATTTTTGTATACAATTTAGATGGATTTTGTAGTAAAATAAGGAATACAGATTAGTACTCTACAAATAAAAAAAGAACCCTAAAACTTGTAAAATTGCTTATGTTTCCATTGGATTTTTCGCTTTTTATGTAAAAGTTTTCCTTGTTTTAGAAGCTAAGTTAGCTAATACTACATAAATCACCAGAAGTCGGTTAAATTAATAATAAGTCCCCTGGCCCCATGGTTTAACCATGAGCTAATCATAATCACTAGATTGTAAATTTAAAACTAATCTTGAGTACCCCAAATGAAACTGCAAAATCAAACATAGAACTAAAGAAGAATGCGTGATTTGTGAACTACCAAATGAGAAAACCTCTAGTTGGGGTTTAACGTTTTACTAGGGTATATATTTGAATATATATATTTTTCTAGGATATGCATAAAATAAGAAGAAAATTTCGAACAATATAATATTAGAAAATTTAGAGAAAGCTAAAATTGTCTATTCCAATACTTTTTTTTTGTTGGACAGCACTCTATTCCAAATTTCCAATGCTATTACAAAAAAAAAATAGTATCAATACAGATTATAGGCTTACTTAATAAAATGAAATGAATAGAGGATGTAATAGACTTTTTTCTTAAGATGTTAAATTATTTTGTAAAATTCCTGAAATGATAGCTATAATGAATGGATTAGTAGAGAATAAAAATTCAACTAGTATAGTACTCCCTCTGTTTCATAAAGAGAGAGTCATTTTGACACATTAAGAAAAGATTAAAACATACACATATATGTCCCTATTTAATAAATGCTTAATGGTTTAATTAATTATAGATTAAGGTGTAAAATTTGAAAATGGTAAAAGATGCATTGGAAATATAGAATGACACTTTTTGTGTAACAAAAAATTTCTCTAAAATGATACTCTTTGTGAAACAGAGAAAGTAATAGATTATTCAAAAATCGTAGTTTAAATTTGCTTCTATATAAGCACTCAAAATGACAGGCAAAAAGACAGATAGAAAAGCAAACAAACTGAAACTATGTGATGTAAAATAAACTTGTAAACTCATAAAAACAGAGAGCTCCGTTTCTCATTCTTTATTCATTTTTCCATCAATCAATGGCTGATGAACAGGTTCAGATGCAGACAATGAATCAAGATCTGGAAGAACCAATGGCTGAGATCATGCCAAGCGTCTTAACGGCAATGTCGTATCTCTTGCAAAGAGTATCGGAGACCAACGACAACTTGAACCAGAACCAGAGGATCTCAGGGTTCAATGGATTAACCAAACCTTGTATTTCAATCAGAAACTATCTCGAGAGGATCTTCAAGTATGCGAATTGTAGCTATTCGTGTTACATCGTCGCGTATATATATTTGGATCGGTTCGTGAAGAAGCAGCCGTTTCTGCCTATCAATTCCTTTAATGTTCATCGGCTTATCCTCACAAGTGTCTTGGTCTCAGCCAAATTCATGGATGACTTGTAAGTCTAAATAATTCTTGAGGCTAATTAATTTGTTAAAAGTCACTTAGCACTTAACATATATATGTTCAATTTTTAATTTTATTTTGTTACAAAATGATTTTAGGAGTTACAACAATGGATATTATGCAAAGGTTGGAGGAATAAGCAGAGAAGAGATGAACATGCTTGAGCTAGACTTCTTGTTCGGAATCGGGTTTCAGTTAAACGTCACCGTTCCTACGTTCAATAACTACTGTTGTTTTCTTCAGAGAGAGATGGTGATGTTGATGAAGATGAAGTCTCTGTTTCTAGAACCTTCTCTTTCGTTTAGAAGCTCTTTTAAGACGAAACTTCTGATGAATAATCCACACGAAGAAGACTCTTTATCTACTCATCACAACGAGAAGCAGCTCGCTGCTGCTTGATGTTTATATATATGCATTGGGGTTTTATCACGCTGCGGTGATGTAAACTTTCTTTTGTATCCCGAGGGTTTTGATTAGTGATGTTAGCTTAGGATTTTTATGAATCGATTCTCTTGGGCTCTATTTTTGTTCATGTTATATGTTTTTAAGTCACCATCTAACTTGAAATCTAAGATAATATAAAAGTCATACGATTGTAGCGGATCATACTATTTCTTGAATATGAAAATCTTGTAAATTCGATACAAATTTTCTCACCAGTTGAACAAAATGCAAGTTTTTTTTAAGATAATCTAAACACGCGTCTGGACTTATGGAGACATACAAAAATACTAGTATATATAAGCGATCACACCTTTAGGAACATGCAAAGACGGTATAAGATACGTCGAGCACATAATCTTATATAGAAAGCATACAAGACAAAGGGAGATAAGTTACATTTAGGAGGGTACAAAACCTAATTATAATCTTAATATTACAAACACTTAATTATACTCCTCCCTAAACCTTTTTAGTTGGGAGAAATTACCACAAAACATCCTCACGGATGAATCTTACTACTGTGGCTTAAGGAGGCAACTTCACCGTTGGAACCACCGCCGCCGCCACCACCAGACCGGCCATTTCCGCTTCCGTAACCATACCCACCACCACGTGCTCCACCACCTCCAGAACCATATCCATACCCGCTACCTGATCCAGATCCGGACCCATACCCGTATCCGGATCCTCTTCCCCACCCGGTCGGTGATCTACCCGAACCCGACCCGTAACCCCATCCAGAACCTGGAGCAGAGCCCCAACCCCAGTTGTAATCCCAATTGGGGCCACGGCCTGATCCACTTTCGCCTGGGTAGTTTTGGCCTGGCATGTTACCACCCCTCGACCATGCGAACGGACGAGAAACCGAAGTCTTTGCAGTGATTAAAAACAACAAAACTAACAAGAGCCCTTTGATCATTTTTTTTTCTTCTAATTTTTCTTATATGTTTTACTTCAAAATGGTGTTTTGTTATGAAGTTATCGTACGAGAGCTTCTGCCACCATTTATAGGCAACAACATGAACCACTATTGAAATGCAACGGTCTACCATGGCAAGTTGGTTTGATAGTGTGCGATGGGCCAGACCCACCCTTTTTTGTGAAAATCCAAACTCGAAACTAAAGAAATTATATAACTTTCTTGATTATTGTTAGGGAAAAAAAGGTTATACGAAAACATTATAATTGCATCACCAGCACACGTTTTAAGTTATAACCTTTTTTATATTTAATAATTGTTTACTTAGACGTAATTATCAACTGTAAATTAGCACCACCGCCCTAACAATATAATTACAAGATCAATCATGAAGTCACTAGCTAGCTATAAACCAATTTTTTTCAATATATACTAATTACCATGATTAAGTGCCAAAAAAAAAAAATATATATTAAATGCCGTATAGCCATTCGAAAATGTTTACAATGTGTGATAGTATTCAATTATTCATATGTAATAGATATTTTTGTTTTCATTTGTCTGTTTTAATTTGAAACTTATCTATATATTAATTAAAGAGTTTATATTTCTATTCTCTATTATAGTCGGTATTACAATATACAAAAAGTCAAATGAAATGATTGAATATTTGATATCACTGATCTAATTGAGTTTCTTTAAAGTAGAAAATATTATCCTTCAAGAACCCATTTAAGATGCATCTCAACGTCAATCCCACTTAGGATTTTTCTTAATTACGGCTTGTGATGATCTAACGAATAATGATAATGATCACATATATAAACATCAAAAACCATTGACAATAGTTGAAAAAAATAACTAATTCATCTTTTCTAAGATTAGTCACACGACCGCAAATTCAATAATTAATGTCAAAAAGATGAGCAAATAAGATATATCGTTTTTATTAAAACTATAAAACACATAGAGTTAACTAGCATATTTTCACCTATCTGTATATCAAACTCAAATGGCCAAATCGTTTCAAATGAATTTGAGTTTATTGAAACACTGATATCCAAAAACTAGTCTAGCTTGATCAGGTAGCTTTTATCAATAATTAATTAAAAACAGTGATTTATTACATATGTGCGATGTCATCATATGACCCTACTACATCGTATAAGTTTATGTTATAAAAAAAAACTATATAGGAATGATCACAAAATTGAATATTCATAGGGTATGAGGTCGGTCGGTGTTTTGAGATAGTCGTTTGGTAAGATGATATTATTTCTCCTAACGTCGATCGTCTGTCCGTACGTAGAATGATATAAACTAAATATATTTCGACTAAAATCGTACATGCAGTGAGTATATTAATTGTTTGTAACCATTTTCTTTCTGAGTTGACTGGACAATAGAGAAATGCTATTATCTTAGTAGTAGTAACACATTCATTTTGACAATACTATATGCGTGTTAAGTGACTACTAAGTAGATTCAGAAATTTAGAAAAGCAATTCCACCGTAATATGTTTGTTCCAATTTGGACCGTATTGATTCCACGAGTTTTACACTGGTGTTGTCCCTGTAAACGATTTAGTAGATATCTATAGTGCATACACGAATGTTTTTGGCTATAAGAAATATCTAAAGGATTCTTTTTAGAATGATGACAACTTTTAATATATATTTTTTCAACGGTGAAGCGGTCCACACGCACAACTTCCTACGGTGGAGCAACTACCATATGTTATGTCTCTTTTTAGGATATGAACGAATATTCATCATATATACATATTTGTTAGTATGTTAACACATCGATCGTGTTTCTTACAACATTTCTCTGTTTAGTTTGAAAAAAATATCTAGAAAATGGATTTATGTATATGTGATGTCAATGGCTCAATTTTTATAGTGGAGTTCAACAGGTTGGCGGATCTGGGCCATATAGTCTCGCAGAAAATGTCTCATAAATATACAAGTACTATTCAGAAAAATGTATAGTTTAAAAAGATCATAACCCCAAATTTTACAGTACTTCAACTTGTAAATAATTCAATAAATTTAAACTATATATAAGTATCCACTGTCTCCCACTGATTTGCATGAAGCTACTTTGTTTCTTTGCTTCTGAATAGTACATGTATATATCATTTGAGTGTACAGCGATACCATTTTGAATATGCACTAGAGCCGTTACAGAAACGTTAGAAAAGATACAGAAACACAAGGATACAGCATAAGAGAAAATAACATTTCTAAATTGAAATATGCAGCAGATCAAGAGTACTTGGATGAATCTAAACCAAGTTGAGGGATAGGAGTCGATCATATTCATCTAATAGATAATGACATTTTGTATCAACGTCATAGTATGATATCGATCATGAGTTAAAATAATTTATCAAATTGGGTGATACTAGTGATATACATATGTTAACAACACTACGCGACGCTTAAAGTGTGCCACGTGATGGACCCTCTCACTAGTCACTAGTATTTTCCACCCACTTACTCTATTATCTACACACTTAAGCATCACACATGCATATGTGCTTTTGAATATAATTCATCATACACGCGTTTGTGACATTATAAATATATATAATGGTAACAAACAACAAAAACTATATGTATGGTCTTATCATATCACTTCGATATTGTTGCATTTTTATGATCTCATAAATTGTTGTGGAACATATTATGTTAAGAGATTACTCAGTCACGGCAACATATGTAATTATGGTTCGATTCTGCCGGCCAATTTCTTCAAATCAAAAAGGATCAGAAGAGGGAGCTGTAAACCTCATTGTAAACCCCATTGTATATACACATATTCCCCAAAAACTCCAAAAAAAAAAAAAAAAATGTAAAATCTATTTTCAAGAAAAAGAAGAGATCGCTCAGTTCAGCGGGATTATCGACACGCAAAAATTTCCATGAAAAAAAATTTCAATAAAAAATCCTGCATTCCGGTCTGTTGAGCTTGAATATTACGAAGTCATCATCACGATTCTCTTCTCAAATGAAAACTTCTATAGAAAGAAAGAGAAAAACAAAAGACATAGCTTGAAGAGCTTAATAAAAGACGATTGCTAATTAACTCAGTATTGGAATGATGCTGGTGATTAGTGACTTTGAGAGATTTTGTATTTATAGGTTAATTGGCTAGGGTTTCTTTTCTCCTGTTTCGAAACACGGCATCGTTTTATCGAAAGTTTTAATGAAGCCGTTATATTAAAGTAGGCCTTCTTGGCTATGGTGATGTTTATTTATATACAACCCATCTTACATTTAACTTAATTTGACCCGGCCCATTCATGAGTTTACATGTTTAGTTAATTTTTAAAACCAAATTATGTATTATACATGTTTTGCTATTGTTTTTTTTTTGTTTGAAAAAGAAAAAATAAACTGAAATTGTATATTATACATTTATTGGATATTTTCTGCACCTCTAATACTTTAGATAGAGACCAATTTATTTTGTGAAAAAATATGTAATAGCACTGACAAATAAAACAAAAATAATAGCAGAAAAATATTCATAAATTATCCATTAAAAAATGTATAGTTTCAGGAAAAAGAATAAAAAATATTTGCAACCACAAGTTTTCTCAAATCAAAATTTTATTTCTCTACTAGTATATGTAATAAGCCTTTCCAAAAAGACAAGTGTAAAATATAAGAACCAATATAAATTTGCCACGTACAAAACATCTGTCGAACAGTTGAGCAAAGTGGTCTCACTTCTCTCTCTCTCGGTCTCGATTTCTGAATTCTCACTATAACACAAATAAGAGGAAGCAAAATCTATTTGATCTGGTTCTGAAGATTTCGAAAAGATGTCATGTTTGGGTAGGGTTTTGTCTGTTTCCTACCCGCCGGATCCGTACAAGTACAACCCGCGGTTTTCAGGGCATAAACTACCTTCACTACGGCGTAATCGGAGATTCAGATGGCGAGTCACGGCGTTCGAACCTGAATCTTCTTCCTCACTCGACTCTGATTCCTCCGCCGATAAATCCGCTGCCGGGTAACTCTGACCTAGCTTTGATCAGTTTACACATCGCATGGCTTTTACTGTTGTTTCCTTTATTTCGATTGCCGTATTTGCTCAGAAGCTAAAGTTATGATTTTTTTGGTTGTGGTTAAGGTTTTGTATAATAGAAGGGCCTGAAACAGTACAAGACTTTGCGAAAATGCAACTACAAGAGATTCAAGATAACATTAGAAGCCGACGAAACAAGATCTTCTTGCACATGGAAGAGGTACTACTTACTTACTAGTTATACTACACACACATCTTCCATTTGCTTCTTAAAGTGGAAACCTTTTTTCTATAGCCTATTCCTTGGAACTCTTAACTGTTTCTTTTTTTTCTTTCTAAAAACGGACCACTTATATATTTATCAGGTACGGAGGCTAAGAATACAACAACGGATTAAAAACACAGAACTTGGTATCATAAATGAAGAACAAGAACATGAATTACCTAATTTCCCATCTTTTATCCCATTCTTACCTCCATTGGTGAGTTTCTTTTTTTTTCTTTCCATTATTACAAGTATTGTGAATTTGTGATTCTTTTTTGTTTTGTTTTGTATGAATCAATCGTATATGCATTTGATTTTCAGACTGCTGCCAATTTAAAAATCTATTACGCAACTTGTTTTTCACTCATCGCCGGGATTATCTTATTTGGTGGTCTTCTAGCTCCTACTGTAAGTGTTTTTGCTACTTCTTGTGTTTTTTTTCTTTTTTCAATCAAGATTGGATTTGTTCTCTCTAACATAGTTTTCTTTTGTAACCTTTGGCAGCTAGAGCTGAAGCTAGGTATTGGAGGCACATCATATGCAGATTTCATTCAAAGCCTTCATCTACCTATGCAACTGAGGTTATAATACTTGTTTCTTTCAACTTTGTTTTTTCATGTCGTCATTGCGTTTTTTCGTATAATGCTTAATCTGTTTGTTGATTTGAATGATAGTCAAGTGGATCCGATAGTAGCTTCGTTTTCTGGAGGAGCTGTTGGTGTGATTTCAGCTTTGATGGTAGTTGAAGTCAACAACGTAAAGCAGCAAGAACACAAGAGATGCAAATACTGTCTAGGAACTGGTACTATGATTTGCTTCTTCTTGTTTTTATTTATTTATTTCGTTTCTTGGTTTTAAAAAAGAAAAAAGAAAAAGAGATTTAGAATCTGGTTCTAACAATGTAATTACATCTTCTTATATAACACAGGGTATCTAGCTTGTGCTCGTTGCTCTAGCACAGGTTCTCTTATTTTAGCTGAACCAGTCTCAACTATTGCTGGTGGGAATCATTCTCTATCACCGCCCAAAACAGAAAGATGTTCAAACTGTTCAGGTGCCGGAAAGGTAAAAGCACGAAAACAAATACCTATAAAACCCAAAGCCTAAAGGTGTGGATACTAAGTTGTATGTGTTTGATTCTCAGGTGATGTGCCCGACATGTTTGTGCACAGGAATGGCTATGGCGAGTGAGCATGACCCTCGGATCGATCCCTTCGATTAAATCTGCAACACTATCTACTTCCTCAGAATCTCGTTCTGTCAGTGTAACTAAAAATGGTATGTACTGATGAATAATTACAACAGCATCTTTTCATCTGTATATACACACGCAAAAGAAGTTAAATACAATGTTAGTACTGTCTTCTCAAACGTCAAAACAACCTAGCTACACTGCACCAGCTAAATCAACAACTCGAAACCTGCATGATGTGTACGTCTTGTGAGTTGTGACTTGATGAAACGGCATGTAATGTTTGGTTTCTCCATTAAGCAAAAAAAGCTTGTTTCCTGTTAATATATTGTTTTCCTTCATGGTACAGTATGTTTTGCTTGAGCTCTAAATGTTTTCAGTTCCGTTTCAATGAGAAGAAAAAAAGGATGGAACCATGTGTGTATGTGTGTGGCTCAAGCTTCCCAGCCACAAGCTACATAGTGGCGCGAGTAGCTCGTTCAAACACCATGAGTGGAAGCTACGGAGGGGCAGAAATGAGAATGGTGAAACTTGATGATGTGAAAGGCACGAGCCATGTACTCTCTGTATCTCTGTTTTACGTATCTGTCTGGAAGTATCCCCACTACTTTTTCATCGGAATCTCAAAATAGACACACAAGAGGAAGGGAACTTTATATACATATCAGAACAGAAAACAGAGTAAGTAACATATCAGAAAACAGAAAACAGAGTAAGTAAAATTCCTAATCCTGGTCTGCTGCTTGATCTGTTGGATGCTTTGCAGCGTCTGTTATGAACTTGGACTTAACGTACTTAACAAAAAGATTGAAATTAAAGGGAGTCAGGGTGAGAAGAAAGGAATCTGTATAAATGTTTGGCTGTGTTTGGTGAAGACTTGGTTCATACTTGCTCAGTTGAGGACACCACCCAACTCATGTACAAGCACTTCATTAGATTCTATGGAGTCTTTGAGACTACCTGTGTTTCCAAAGGGCATGGATATCAATACCATCAGCGTTCTTACTGCCACCCGTGATGTTATTGACTGCGGTAAACTTTTCTGCCTATCTCATGGATCAGCCTCAGTTCCCAATTTAGATACACAAATCCATGTTAGAACTGGAAACCCTGAATCTAATACCCGTACTCAGCAAGAAGAGCTTCAGTGGCGACAACACCATGTCCTGTGGCAGCTTGAAATGATCAATTCATGCAGAATTGGACATCTCAAGAACTTGAAAACTCTGTTTCTTTCAGACCAATGAGCGCTAGCGCTAGGGAATATGAGGAAGCCTTGAAATAATTTTTCCAACAACTTTATAGAACGACGGGCCTTAAAAACGTCAATCGTGTAGTCTCTCTTCAACATATACCACGGCTATATCCCTAAGTTGGTATCTCAGACTTCCTGATAACGAAATCCTCAAGCTTTGGCACAACGGTTTCCCAATTCATGCATCAAATTACGCTTTAGTCTAATTTTTCCCTTTTGATAGCGAAACTCAGTTTCAGCAACGGCTTCGAATCTAGACTCTCCACAACGGTGAGCTTGAGCTGAGTCGAGTGCACGGTCACGGATCCACCGAGAGAAGAGCGTTGTCAATTTAGAGGGTTCAGATTATAAAAATTAGTTATTCATTTTTCTGTTACATCTGTCGGGTTAATTTAACAGAAATCTAAATTGTCACACTTTTAAATAAGAGTAGTTTGCTATTTTTTATGTTAAGAGTTTGAGCAATTTTGCTGTTTAAATAACATTTTTTTTAGTTGAGAGATATGCAAACATAAAAAACTTTATAAACCAGTTGTCCTTGTAAAAGCGCAAGCCTTATCTCCTCCACATACACATATGTTTCCTTTTAAACAAAATAAAGTACATTGAGTGGTTGATTAATTTGGTAGTTGCATTAGAAAGAGGGAGGAGGAAGGAGCCAGCTGGATCCTTGGATGTAGCCAAGCGAGATGAAGTAGTTCGCTTCTATATCGTCAATGTCTTGTGTATACTTTACTCTTTTCTCCTTGTGCGATCCTGGTCCTGAGCACTTATACTCTCCATAGAACACCGTCCTGCTCATCAATCAGTGTACTTTGCATTAAAAAAAAAAAATAACGTATATATTTAATTTTTGATTGATATATATTACTATGGTTTGGGCTGTACATACTTGTCACGTTCAGTCTCGCGGTTTTCTTGCCATCCAGACGGGTTCACGACACTTGACATATCAGTGTATGCATAAACAACCTTAGGATGGCTCATCCATGCTCGACCCAAGTAGATCCCGGTTCCCGTGCCTGTAACCTTGCAGTGCACGAACGAGTATCCGCTTTTCTCTTCGGCGCTTTTTCCCGCCTGAGCTGCGATCACTCTGATTCCATCTCCCACAACGTTTAGTTGTGTACCCTATTTTCAATTTAACATTTGAACAATTACCGTTAAAGTTCATCATATATATATATATATATATAAAATTGGAGGAGCATGAGGTCTAATTAGGTAGGTACGTACTAGGTATAGAGAGCGTCCGCTTCCAAAGATGAAATCAAATGTGCCTTCGATGTAGCAGTCTTTGAAGAAATGGTTTCCGGTGTCATCGCAAACCGTGTCTTGATAACCGTAAAATTTACAGTTGTAGAAAGCTGCTTTGTTGCCAGAGATTCTCATAGATAAAGCTTGTGCACCCTTCTTCTTACCGTCAGGCATAGGCGCAGAGTTCTGAAAAAAAAAAAAAAAAAGTATTGCTTCCATTTTTTAATAAAAGTAGTATCGTTATTTTTTCCCTTTCAAAAGTAATGTCACATGTAAGAAACATATTAACTGTCCTGATTAGTCCACATGTTCTGAGACCCAAAAAAAAAAAAAAAAAAACTATATATATACACCTTAACGATGATGTTAACAGCCATGAAATAGTCGGACAAGACAATGAGAGTTGCGCTATCGACTGTCCCATATTGTGCTGCGGTACCGTCATATGTCAATACCGGCATTGCATTTGGATGACCGTACAGTGTGATGAAAGGCTTGCTTCTATCTATCGTGACCTTCTCTTTGTATACACCAGGACCTACCTTGATGATCACCCGCCTAGTGTTCCCTTCCCCTACACTCTTTATCGCTTCAGTTATTGTCTTGAAGTGACCTCTTCCATTTTGTTTCACCTGCATTATTGATTGATCCAAAATATATCTCTTATGATAAAATCCACAAAAATATATATCGCATTTATATATCGACGACATGTTATTTGTTGTATATACATAAGAAAATGTCTAATAATTTCAATTTTCAAGTAAATATATAATGATTATACCTACCTTTATGATACGTGGCTTAGCCTCGGCTGTCAATAGAGCTGGATCTAATGTGCTTTTTCTACTAGCCAACGACGGGACGTTGGTGTTGAACCACTGCTCGATTCGGCCTTTGTTCTGCGGAATTGGTGCTGCATCGTTACCGAAAACCACGGGCGATGTAATCACCACGAGCAGGATTGTTACTATTAGGGACACAGAATTGTATCCCATTGTTCTATTACTATTATTGTTTGTTTTTTACTACTTTTGTAGAACATTTTCTAATGGTATATGTATACCATCTCTGAAAGCGAGGAACACCCAAGGCCGTTAAGTTTGCTAAATTGGTTTTTGGTTCCTCCTATTTTGTTCATTTTTATCCCTTCATAAATTCTATATATATATATATATATATATATATATATATATATGTCATGTACTGTTATAGTTTATTTCGTCTAGAAAACTAATTTAGTTTTTAAAGACTAAAACCGCTTAGTTTTATTTTTGGAACAAAATGATCATTAGCTAATTAAGGTTTTTGTTTCTTTTGTCATCGAATCTATCACAAACTTTGAGAGAATCCAAACCCGTACATAAATGCCTACGTACGTTACATATAGGAAAATAAAGGAACATGCAATCGTGACTGACGAGCTAAAATAACGGCTAATAATAGTATCTCTAAGGCTAGGCTAGGGTTTGTAACTTTGTTTCGCTATGTATTTTAACGAAATACTACTTGTGAATTACATGTCAGCAAACTAAGCCACTAGCTTATTTGGAGACATTAATTTAAAGTGTCTAGTGTGTGCTTACTTTTGTCACATTGAACAAACACAAAACTTATGACAAATTAAAAGACAAATAAACACAAAACTCAATGTATAGCTTGAAACCCCCTATACTATGTATAAGGAACGGCCTAATATTCTTTGTTTACAATTCCAACAACCAAAATTTTTTAATTGTAATTGTTAGATTCATAAATCAATCACGATACCACGAACACCTTGTCGTAGCCCTTTATGTCCTAATGCATTTGGTGATGGTGGACGTGTCACCGGAACATTCTGTGGTACCCGCATCTCTGATGAGTGTCCTGAGATGCACATTGATCCCGACCCGTCTTGTTGCCAGTACACTTCCACCATTATCCCACTTGGATTCTCTGCGTTTTCTGTTTCAGGGATCCCAACAAATCTTGCTCCCACAGGTATCTAGACATTAATTAACCATATAACTTATTAAAATTGTTCCCACAGGTATCTAGACATTAATTAACCATATAACTTATTAAAATTTCTCAACTCTGCATGAACTAGATTAATATACTGTATGTGGATTTTTGATTAACCTCTAGTGAGATGCCTGATTCTAACTCCAGAGTGACCATGTTTCCTTCAGCTGTTGCGCTTTCTAGTTCAGCACGTCTTGCGATGTTCATAAACACTTCTTCAAGAGTCGCAAGACCGAGTTGGATGTCTGAGATTCCGAATTCAGATTCTCTGTTTTGTAGCTCCTCAAAAAAACCCTATTGGCCATTGAGATCACAGAGAAACAATGGTGAACGTCAGAGATATATACATTGATGAAGGTCTATATATAGGATTTTGAGAGCTTTGTACCGTCAAAAGCTTTTCTTTGTCGTGGGGGATAACAAAAGTCATGAAAGCTCTGTTTTCTTCTGTTGGTTCAACTTTCAGATGCTGCCAACAACAACAACAACAACAAAAAAAAACAAATTATATAATTTGCTTAGGCACCTAAACGTATAGTATTTGCACAAAATGGTCGCTAGTATACTTTTGAGTAAATGTTACCTCTTTGAAGAATTTCTTCAATGGCTCGTGGGAAGCTCCAACAGCGATGTTATTGTCATTTTTGCTTTCGATGAAGCTAACGGTAGCAACAAATCCCGTGCCAAAGCGGGATTTTAACCTGATTGAGGCCCCAATGCAACGGAGCCTGCCTTTAGCCATGATCCCTATTCGATCACTTAAAATATCAGCTTCCTCCATAGAATGTGTAGTTAGTATGATGGCGCGACCTTTCTTTGACTCTTGTATAATATCCCACACATGTCTCCTCGTGAGAGGGTCCATGCCAGTTGTCTACAATCCATGTATGATATTCTTAGAATCATTTATTTATGTGTAACAATATAAACACATATTTAAACAAGAATGTAGCAACTTGACATGCCGGTTCATCTAGGAAGACCAGCTTTGGATCACCAATGAGTGCTACTGCCACACTGAGTCGACGTTTCATTCCACCACTATAACTTCCTGATCTAACTTTCGCCGCTCCAGTCAGTTTTACATCCGCCAGTAACTTCTCAGCTGTCTATAACAGAAATGAATTTAAGCAAAAGATACCGATAAGTTGCATTTATGAACCTAGGAACTTCAATATAATGATTTAATATCTTTGCAGCCGTAAAGAGAAAGTAAATTGCATATTATTTACGGTGATGTACCGATTTGATCTCATCTGGTGGCAACCCTTTGATGCTAGCAAAGAGATGGAGGTGCTCTTCACTAGACAAAGCATCCCAAAGAATATCAAACTGTTCAAAAAAATAAAATAAAAAAGTGTTAAGAAATTATTGTTTAAGAGGCAATGCTAGTAACACCTATGAAAACTGACTTACCTGTGGACACACTCCTATCATTTTACGAATGTTTGTCATACCCACCGAACTTCTTATGGACTCTCCATAAATAAGAGCTGTTTAAATTAAAGTAAAATCAAATGGGTCTTATAAGAATGATTAAGAAATGCTTTGAGAACCTGTTTTCCTATACAAACAGATGCTTACCATCACCACCAGTAACTGGATTTATGCCAGTCAAACAACTAATAGTAGTTGTTTTCCCTGCGCCATTGGGTCCAAGAAGACAAAACAACTGATCTTTGGCAATGTTTATCCACAAACCCTAAGCATATTTTATGAATTAATTAAGTAGCCATTGTAATACATTTCATGCATGCTGGATATCAAGTGGAACAATGAACATTAGAACTTGTTGAATAGCCTTGGCATAGATAGAACACACACGCACTACAAATCTACAATGTTATACTTTGCAATGGAATGAACATAAAAGAATATATACCTTTACAGCATGAAAAGGCGAAGTTTTCATGCATTTGCAGCATCCAAGCTTGGTTGTTCCAGGATATGTCTTTGCAAGACCATGAATCTGAACTGCAATGTTAGGATCAACTATTCCATCAATTGCTTGTTGTTTAACTATAGTCTCCTCTTCAAGCACATCTTCGTCCTCTGGGGTAATATGCTCTGCATATGGAACTGAGCCAATACAGCTACAAACACTCCCTTCTGTAAAAGAGTAGAAACATTATTGCTTGGTTTGCGGTTTCCATAAGTTTGATCATCAGCTAGCGCATGCAAATTACTAGAGAAAGATTTAATTTATACCTTCCACTTTGTTGCCTTCTTTTCCAGTCCAGTAACTAGGTTTTAGAAAGTAGAAGATCGATTTCCTCACGCCGGATGCATTGGGAATTATATTGTCAAAATAGATAGCCAGACCAAACCATAATAGGAATGTCCCAAGGAGCCATTGGAATACAATGTTCTACCCAAAAAAAAAAAAAAAGATGTTTGAGAATGTTATTAAACAACGTAACTAGTAATGTAGGAAAGTCTATTTTGAATGTTAACATACAATTGTCATAATGCAATCATCATCTTTTGTACATATTGCTCTTCCACTCCAACTTATTCCCGAATCTCCAGGAGATGATGTTGCCTGAATAAGTCTCTGCAGACCTGCAGAAAAGGTATTCGGTGGAAAGAATGACCAAATCACACGGCGAGCAATCGACTGTGAGTGTGAATAAGGGAATCCAGCCTCTGTTACAATCTGCAATATTAATGAGAACTATTATATAATTTGTAAGAATTCCAAAATTTCAGCTACTTTGTTAGCAAAAGAGGCCAAACCTGTGTTATAAAACCAACAAGGAAGACAAGGAAACCAACAGTTGTTGCCGAAGATGATTTGCTAATGAAAGATGAGAGCACGAACGCTAGGCCAATCTAGCAGAGAGCACAAGTAATTATTAGTCAGATAACTTGCATGATATGATATGCAGCTGGAATATCTCAGATACTGAACATAATTAGAGAATGTAAGCTTTTACCATATTGAACTGGAAAAGCAAGAAGAGCAGGAAGACAACAGCAAAACTGTTCTTCAAGAAAAAATCAAACTGGAACATCATTCCGAAGAGGACCAAGAAGAGTGAGGAGACAAAGGTAAGGATTCCGTCCCACAAGAGCCATGACAACCAATATGCAGAATCATGCATAGGAAACTCCAAGGAACTGAAGAGCAGATACGGTGGATCATATGTCTTCACGATGACAACATCTTCAAAACATGAGGAAGACGTAGAGAGATTGGTTAAATCTTTCTCTCCCAATGCAAAGAAGATCTATCACCTCGCTGGTACTCAGAAGTTCGAGCTCCCAAAGCAAGAGGTTCGGATTGCTGAGGTGTTTCGCTCTGTTGAAAAGGCCAAATCCAACTTCACAGTCTTTGCCTGGGGACTTGCCGATACAACTCTCGAAGATGTCTTCATCAAAGTCGCTAGAACTGCTCAAGCTTTCATCTCCTTGTCTTAAAACCTATTTTCAGTTATAGGCTTCTCCTTTTTTTAGGTCAAAATTATTTGTCTTGAGACACACGCAAACTTACCACCATTTTGTTAATAGATACTTCTTTCGTGTCGAGGTAGAGTTACGTTGCGATAGGAGATATATATATTTCTGCAAAGCTTGTGGCATATGCTCTAAAGCAACAACACCTTCATGTTAAATTACGGGGGCATCACAAGATGAAGGTTAAAAAAAAAAAGTTGTTGTGTACAAAAAGGAAAATAAAATAAAAATAAAGATGTTTAAACTTTTAAAGTATTAGTAGTTTTAGATGAAAATTAAAGGACACAAAATTATTGATATCAAAATCCTAAGATTTTTTGTGCTCAGAGATTTTGGCAAAATAGAAATTAGTTTCAGAAAAATCATCAAAACTAATAAACAAATTATTGTTTCAGGATCGGATGGATATGCAAAGTAATTAATCATCGTGCACATGTGTGTAGGCGTATCTAAGTGGGAGATGGGGCACGTGCGCCGTAGTCCCTTGTTAAAGTTTAACGAGTACATGTAGGACAAATAAACTCCTCAGCTTAATTGGTTAATGTGCACCTAATTTTTCTTTGGGTCCTTTGGTTCGAATCCATTTTATTTTGTATTTTACTTATTTTTTTTTTAATATTCTTAGATAAAATGAATTACTTTCAATTCTTATTTTATTATTCTATTTCTAGTTTACACTTTAACAAATTTAATTCGTTTTTATTGTATAGTATACATATATCTTAATTGAAAAAATGTTAGTAAAATAGTCAATTAGAATCATTAACTTCTTTCTTTTAGTAATTTGATGTTTGTAAAGATTAGAGATGTGTGATAGTTAATTTAAATGTAGCATATGTATTTACGTTTTATAGTTAATTGTAAGTTTGTAATTGTGTATATTTTAATTGTGAAAACAAAACATTTTTTTGTCACTGTGAAAGTTTGATGATAGAAACTCTTATAGAGTTATAAGAACATGGCAATCTCTCGACGACCTTAAGTCACTTGGTTGTTTTTTTCCTGACTGACTGATTTTAAACTCCGTCGTACGTAAACAAAATTGCAATTGCACGCTCTGCCGCGATTTGAAGAGGAACAAGGAACGTAAACGTAGGATTCTCAACCCCACCACGTTTTTTCTCCAAGGAAGAATTTGTTTGGAATCCATATATAGCTAATCACCGTATCATTCTTTTCCACGATATGGAAAGCTCCTGGTACTTGCAAGGGATGTGACATAAGCCAATGTATCTAGAGACTCTAGCTCAGTACTAGCACCAACTTGTTAATCTTTGCGATTAATAATTTGTTTTCTATATAACTATACGAATACGACATATCCTATAATTTTTTGACGTATTTTAACGACTTGCAGTGAACGTTCATTTAAAACCCGAACAATCTTGACCCTTGTGATTTAGAGTTGTTTTGGTAGTGAATATTAGTTGATGAACTTATTTTACCTAACTTATATGACACATGTAATGTTTGTACCTTTCATCAAAACATCACAAGATGAAGGTTTAAAGTTGTTGTGTACGTACAAAAAAGGACAAAAAAAAGAAGAGGGATGTTTAAACTTGTAAAGTATTAGTAGTTTTAGATGAAAATTTAAGGAAACAAGCTTATTGTTATATATAAATATGTTTGATGATATCAAAATCTTAAAATTAATTTTCTGTTCAGAGATTTTGGCAAAATAGAAATTATTGTTTCAGAAAATTCATGGAAACTAATAAACAATAGAAATGATGATGATAACTAGATGGACAGTTATAAAAGCTTTTTTTATTATAAAGCTACCATATAAAAAAAAAAACTAATAAACCAAAAATACCACCAAAAAAAAAAAGTTTAGGAATGATTGGAAAAAAAAATTAGAAAGTGATACCAACGGATTAAGAAGCCAGCTTAAAACCTTTATGATGAGTCCTTTCTAAAACAAAAGTTTTGTTCCATTTTTTTAATTTTTATGTTTTTGTAAAATATATATAAGTCTCTTTTGATCTTTGGACTAAAAATTGTCTTCGGAAGGGAACGATAGATGCATGTGGAGTGTTGATGTCCACTGAGTTCAATCAAAGAAAGCAAACGGGAGCGGGTCAAGTGTACGTCGGAAAGCTAATTGGTGTGCGAATTGTGAGTTTGTGACGATGACAAAAATGGAAAGTAAACTGTAATAGAAGACAGACTTCACAGATTTCAGATTTGTCACTGTATTGATCTTTTAGTGAGAAGCCAAAATTTATTACGTATGTGTGGAACCGATCGAAGAGCTAGTATCACAGTGACTAAAATGAGTACTCGTAGTATTAAATATGATGAGCTTTTGTCACACTAGAGCAAGATTCAGGAGTGAACTCTTATTCCTGATCACAGTCAACTGACCAAACGTATTTAGTACGTACACACATACATAGATGATAGATGGTTGGAGATAAGATTAATGATAATTAACTCCTAATTCAATGCAGGGGATAATTAAACACACGTTTATCTTTCTTTCAATATGGTGTATAAAACAATTCACATGCATGATTAATATTACTTGATTTAGTTTGGTTCGAAAATGAATTTGGCATGATTTTGTATAATGTTTTTGAATTGGTAATGAGACATTTAAAGATGGGTGAATGGTAAGTTTGGTGTTTCACCAACCAAAGTGTCTCTGAGCTTTCCCAAACTTTCTTCTATATAAATCAATACAACACTTATATCCTAACATTGCAAACACGACGAACCATCTTAAGAAATATAGTTTGCTTTACTTTTTTTTTTTTTTTATCTTTCATAATTAAGAAAAGAAGAAAAAAAATGCTAGGCTTGAACAAAAAGGTTACAGCTGTTGTAATGATGTTTTGGATTACACTAATCAATCTTTCGTGTTTGAACGCAGAAACAGAGTTATTTATAAATCCAGTAGATTGCTTAAACTCAATCACGAAAGTTGGCGGATGTGGTGATGCCATTGGTGGTATACATCACTGGGACTTCAGTCATCTCAAGCGTGCTTGCTGCGAAGCACTCGAAGGTTTAAGCGAAGGTTGTTGGCCCATTATCTTTCCAGGACAACCCCTTGTTCACATGATGATTAAAGGCATATGTTTTTTTCCATAGAAAACATATGGTCGTTAACTATGATCAAGAGCATGCTATGATGATATGAGAAAGTAAACAATAAATAATGTGTGCGGTAATGCGTATTATCGTTTTTTTTTTTCATTTTAATTAAGTACTATTATTATTAAAAAAATATATAATGAGAAGATGTCTTATTAACAAGCCTACCAGCTTGTTCCTTGTGTTTGAAACATTTCCTATCAGCTAATAAAAATATATTTTGTTATTGTTTTGTTACATTATTACTAGTTTAGTGTTCAATATTACGTTGACAAATGAATGGACTGTTGCAGAATTGGATGGATATGCAAAGTAGTTAAATAATCGTGCACATGTGTGTGTATATATATATATATTATATATTTATCATCGAGATTCGTATATAAATTTTGCTGTATCGTTGAAGGTGTGAAACCAGCACTAGCTATCAGGGCACTATCTTAAAAAATATGAGACGTGAATCAACACTTCGGCATGTACTTACTGGTTCAGTATTGTGTACGTACTTACTGGTTCAACACTTCGACATGTATTCCATTATTATATTGTAACGTTGCAAGGTATATTAATATTTCAATATATGCTCTAACGTCCTGACTAAAAATAGTTTGGCCATTTAAAGAATGTTTCTACTTTCTAAAATTACGTCCAGAGAAAACCTAATAGCCAAAGAAATATTTCTCGGAAGATGTCTTTCATCATCCCTTAAATTAGTTAACTAACTAACACCTTCAACTATTTTTATTCTTACTAATTTTTTTAGTAAGTAAAATTTTTTAACTTCTATATAAATACAACTAGTTACTATAGAAAGGCAAGATCACTAAAAATCCAGAAGAAAATTTATATATAAAAGAAAGAAAGAAAAAAAGTTCTTACCGACCGTGCTTTTTTTTTTAAAAAAAAAAATCTCTCTTTCTCTCTTAAGAGAAACAAAAAAAGAAAGAATATGGCAAGAGTTTCATCAGTGATATGTCTAACGTTACTTGTCACATTAAGCATTGTTTATGAAACACAAGGGACCTTCTCGTTACCCCATTACTTGAAAAATTTCCCCAAACAGGGAAAAGACTTTGAGGCTTTCGCAGACAAAGGTATGTCGGACTTCCTTGGTGACTTGGAGGGTAAGTGTCCTAAAACCGCAGAGTTCAAGGATTTCTTTGCAAAGTTGAAGGATTACATGGCCTCCTTCAATTCCGGGACAAAAGATATCCAGGTCGAGATGTCTGAAAAATCTGAAAAGTTGTTCAGGGCTATGTCTGCTTTCGACACTAGTAAAGGCGGAACATCGGTAACTTTACGTTGTTTAACATTCATATATATCATATATATGATTTGTCGTTCACAATTTTTTTGGCGATATATAGGAGGACTCATGGAGGTTGGTGGATGGCTTGTTGTCCATGGGGAAGGGTATGATTGAGATGAAGAAGAGCGGTTCCCAAGAGATAACTTTTGAACAAAGAAAAGAACTGATCGGGTCTATGGTGAAATGGAGTAGAGGGATCGGTCTATTCGTGAAGACCGCCTCCGGACAATCTATTGATCTGTCATCTTTTGGGATTGATTATGACAACACTGTAGAATCTCCTATTAAAAGAGCTATGCTTGAAACACAAGGAACATTCTCTCTACCCCTTTACATGAAGAATCTCCCAAAAACGGCCCAAGACTTTGAGCCTTTCGCTTACAAAGGTATGTCGCACTTCATGGATAGCCTAGAGAGTAAGTGTCCTGCCACAACAGAGTTCAAGGATTTCTTTGTAAAGCTGGAGGACTACATGGCCTGCTTCAAGTCGGCATCATCCGAATCAAAACAAAACCAGGTGAACATGTCAGGGAAATCTCAAAAGCTCTTTAGGGCTATGTCTTTATTGGATGGTACCAAAGGCGGAACATCAGTAAGTTCTATCTAGACGTTAACATCTATATCTATTGGTATATTTGCACGTACGGTTTTAAATGGAATTTTGTCTGTTTTTCTTTTCTTTTGTTGTTGTGGCCGTAGGTGGATTCGTGGAGAATGGTCGATGGTTTGTTGTCAATGGGAAAAGTTTTGGTTGAGATGAAGAAGCATGGTTCCAAGGAGATAACATTTGAGCAAAGAAAAGAATTGTTCGGATCTATGGTGAAATGGGCTAGATCTATCGGTCTTTTCGCCAAGATGGCCTCCGAGAAGAAAGGAAAATCCATTGATCTATCACCTTTTGGCATTGATTATGACAACCGTGCTGGAAATGGAAAAGGTAGCATAAAAAACGGCCCTGTTCAGATTAACAGCAGCGAGCTCTAATCATCCTATGCAAAAAGGCCCCAAGTAAAGATATAACAAGAGTGTAAAAAATAAAGTAAGACAGCCCTGCTTTAATTTGTAAAATAGCAGCGAGCTGTAGAACATTTTTGGCTATTAATTCTATATATAACCACAGTAATAATAATAATAATATAACAACAATAATAAATATAATATTACTAAGTTTAACTTGCTAAACAGATGCTTTAGCTTCTCTGTATATCTATTATATATATATATATATATATATATATATATATATCTTGACCAGTCTTACGTAACAGAAGTCAACATCTACTGCTCTGGATTTTCATTTTCCATCTTAATTTCGATGAACTTGATCTTCATTCTCGTGTCTTACACGTTGGATCAAGATTTTTAGCTTACCATCCAACGTTTTCATATATCAATCTCAGTGTTATACATATACATTCTTTTAACCTAATTAGGATTCTCTGTTTTTTTTTACTATTCTTGTTAATTTCTCTTGTTGGAAAAATGTAAAGAAATTGTGAAAACAGAACATTTTTTTGTCACTGTGAAAGTTTCATGATAAGAAACTTTTATAGAGTCACTTGGTTGTTGTTTTTTTTTCCTGACAGACTGTTTATAAACTCCGTCGTACGTAAACAAAATAGACCGACCATATATTGTAGATCCCAAACAGCATGCCCTATTAATTAAGAAGGAAATATTAATTGATAGAATCATAATCAATCACAATACCCCGAACTCGTCGCTGCCCATGTCCTAATACTTGTGATAATGGTTCATATAACACTGGGACATTCTCTGGGATCCGCATCTCCTGCGAGTATCCAGAGATGCACATCGATCCTGACCCGTCTTGTTGCCAATACACTTCTACCATTATTCCTCGAGGATTTTCTGCGTTTTCTGTTCCAGGGATACCTACAAATCTTGCTCCCACAGGTATCTGTGTACATTGAGGTTCGTGTACATGCATTAACTATAACTTATTACATCTCTCAATAGTGCATGATTTAACATGTGATAATTAAGTTGAATTTTTTTTTTTTTTGACGGACGTTGTCTATTTACGTACCTCGACTGAGATGCCTGATTCTAACTCGAGAGTGACCATGGTTCCTTCAACTGTTGCACTTTCTAGTTCAGCCCGTCTAGCGATGTTCAGAAACACTTCTTCAAGGGTGGCAAGACCGAGTTGAATGTCTGAGATACCAAATTCAGATTCTCTATCTTGTAGCTCCGCAAAAAACCCCTATGAGAATATGATATATATAAAATAACTCATTTTATTCATCATCAGATGAATTAGATCTAAGAGATAACTAAAGCTTTGTAGTAGATGGTTACCGCCAAAAGTTTTTCTTTGTCATGGGGGATAACAAAGGTCATGAAAGCTTTGTTTTCTTCTGTCGCCTCAACTTTCAGATGCTACAAAATATTGTTCCTGGCTTAGAGGCACTAGATATAATTTACTAACTAAATAATATGCTCTATACGTACTAAGAAAATAAAATAAAACATACCTCCTTGAAGAATCTTTTCAATAGCTCGGATGAAGTTCCAGCGCCTTCATTTTTGTTTTCGGGGAAGCTAACGGTAGTAACAAAACCCGTGCCAAATCGAGATTTTAACCTGATTGAGGTTCCCATGCAGCGGAGCCTGCCTTTAGCCATGATCCCGATTCGGTCACCTAATATATCAGCTTCCTCCATAGAATGCGTCGTTAGTATAATGGCACGACCTTTCTTTGATTCTTGTATAATGTCCCACACATGTCTCCTTGTGATAGGGTCCATACCAGTAGTCTATAATCCACGAAGAGTAAAATTAAACCAAAAAATAATAAAAAAATAAAAATACTGATATGTGCTTTGTGTTAAACGCAATTTTAAAGAGGAACGTGCAACGTTACAGACCGGTTCATCTAGAAACACCAGCTTGGGATCACCAATGAGTGCTATTGCAAAGCTGAGTCGACGTTTCATTCCACCACTGTAACTTCCTGCTCTAATTTTGGCCGCTCCTGTTAGCCTTACATCTGCCAGTAACTTCTCTGCAATCTGTATAACGTAACAAATAAAAATGGTATCCGCAACCCAAATTTTTCATCAGATACTTGTAAAAATACAGGAATCTAAGTAACTTTTATATTAATCGAAAGACTTTACCGATTTGATCGATGCTGGTTGTAACCCTTTGATGCTAGCAAAGAGGTGGAGGTGCTCTTCACTAGATAATGCATCCCAAAGAATATCAAACTGTAAAAAAAAAGAAAGAATGAAAAAGACATAAAACCATGCTCTTTATTTTAAGCATAAGATGACTAGATTGTTTTGTCTGAGGACAGTGAAGGAAGAATTTAAAACCGAATCTAGCTTACCTGAGGACAAACTCCTATCATTTTACGAATGTTAGACATACCAACAGAGCTTCTTATGGAATTTCCATAAATTATTGCTGTTACAAGTCAATAAAAATGGATCCTATTAGAATAGTTCCAAAATCTTGCTTCATCCAGACTGAAACAAGAAAAAGGTGAGCAAGCTAAGCTTTTCTTACCATCACCACCAGTAACTGGATTTATGCCAGTCAGACAGCTTATAGTAGTTGTTTTCCCTGCGCCATTGGGTCCGAGAAGACAGAACAACTGGTCTTTGGCAATATTCATCCACAAACCCTGAGTATAATTTCCATGAATCAGTTGAATAGATAATAACATGGAACTGTTGTTGTAAACAAGGGCATTTATCTCAGGTACATGCATGTGGAACAGTTTTGTCAAAAACCACACATTGCCGGAAGGAAGAATAACGTACGTACCTTTACAGCATGAAAGGGTGCAGTTCTTTTGCATTTGCAGCATCCAAGCTTGGTTGTTCCAGGATATGTCTTTGCAAGACCATGAATCTGAACTGCAATGTTAGGATCAACTATTCCATCAATTGCTTGTTGTTTAACTATAGTCTCCTCTTCAAGCACATCTTCGTCCTCTGGGGTAATATGCTCTGCATATGGAACTGAGCCAATACAGCTACAAACACTCCCTTCTGTAAAAGAGTAGAAACATTATTGCTTGGTTTGCGGTTTCCATAAGTTTGATCATCAGCTAGCGCATGCAAATTACTAGAGAAAGATTTAATTTATACCTTCCACTTTGTTGCCTTCTTTTCCAGTCCAGTAACTAGGTTTTAGAAAGTAGAAGATCGATTTCCTCACGCCGGATGCATTGGGAATAATATTGTCAAGGTAGAGAGCCAATACAAACCAGAAAAAGAATGTCCCCGTAAGCCATATGTAGATTTTATTCTGCCAAAACAAAAAAAAAAAGATTCAAAATATGGCCAGAGATTGATAGAAAATAAATAATTAGATCAAATCTATCTAAGAAAAGGTTGACGACATACAATTGTCATAATGCAATCATCATCTTTTGTACATATTGCTCTTCCACTCCAACTTATTCCCGAATCTCCAGGAGATGATGTTGCCTGAATAAGTCTCTGCAGACCTGCAGAAAAGGTATTCGGTGGAAAGAATGACCAAATCACACGGCGAGCAATCGACTGTGAGTGTGAATAAGGGAATCCAGCCTCTGTTACAATCTGCAATATTAATGAGAACTATTATATAATTTGTAAGAATTCCAAAATTTCAGCTACTTTGTTAGCAAAAGAGGCCAAACCTGTGTTATAAAACCAACAAGGAAGACAAGGAAACCAACAGTTGTTGCCGAAGATGATTTGCTAATGAAAGATGAGAGCACGAACGCTAGGCCAATCTAGCAGAGAGCACAAGTAATTATTAGTCAGATAACTTGCATGATATGATATGCAGCTGGAATATCTCAGATACTGAACATAATTAGAGAATGTAAGCTTTTACCATATTGAACTGGAAAAGCAAGAAGAGCAGGAAGACAACAGCAAAACTGTTCTTCAAGAAAAAATCAAACTGGAACATCATTCCGAAGAGGACCAAGAAGAGTGAGGAGACAAAGGTAAGGATTCCGTCCCACAAGAGCCATGACAACCAATATGCAGAATCATAAACACCCATCGTTGCCATTGCCTGTTGAACAGCAAAGTAATAGGAATGATCATCCAAGACACACAATGGTAACAACCTCAGTTACACAAATTTATAAAAAAAAAAAAAAAAAAAGAAGAAGAATAGATCTGATTATAAAACCACCTCACGAAGTTTTAGCTCTTTCTCGGTAACAAGGGAACCGAGTTGAAGAACAAAACCAAACATGGAGAAAGCAAGAAAGAAGACAGGTCCCATAAGATAAAATGCGGAGAAGTCTACTCCACCACCAATAGCTGGACGCGCAAATTCCTTAAATCCAAAACCCCAACTAAACTTTGGATCTGAAAATGTATTCCATGTTACTACACTAGACAGAAAGAATCAAGGATCAATTGGTATACATATAAATATATATATATATATATATATATACGTACCTCCAATTAAAGACCTTGCGATTTCACGCTCTGCAGCGATTTGTAGAGGAACAAGGAATTTAAACGTAGGATCCTCACTCCGACCACGTTTTTTCTCCAAAGTAGAATTTGTTTGGATTCCATAGCTAATAACCGTAGCATTCTTTTCCACGAAATGCAAAGCTCCTGGTACTTGCAAGGGATGTGACATAAACCATGCATCTACCTCCTCAGGCTTCTCAAATGACTGAACCTGCAGACAAAAGAGACCAAACCACACAAGAGAGCACAAATAACTCTTTAGAGTATTCTTGTGACCATGAAAATGAAGAAGAGACTTGTAAGTGTCATGCTAACCTTATTGGTGGGGATTGGTCGTCCCGGATTATTAGCCATAATAGCAGAGACAATGTCAGCCACACGACGGCTCTGGTTCCCACTCCACACGAAGTCAAGGCATGGGAGTCTCGCGTAAAACTTATCCTCACATGGCGGTATCGGAAGAGAGACCAACGCCTTAGGATCTGTGACGTTTCTGTGCGCAGTCGAGGCTAACTCGCTCGCCTTTGTAGATTCCTGGATACTGAAGATGAGAAGGATGAAGAAGAAGGAAGAGAAGAGGTGAAGAAACGTAGCTCTCTTGTTTCTCCATGAAAGCAGTAGATTCTTCTTCAACAACGCTGTGAGTTGCTGATGGAAAAGCGGCAAGCCTTCTCGCAGAGTCATTCAATCAGAGGAAGAAGAAGATCAGAGGTTTTTTTTTTCAACTCTTTATTTGTATTATGTGCCAGAGGAAACGCTTATAGTACAGTATATATTAAAAAAGGTTGATTTTTGCAAATAAAAAAAAACAAAGAATATACTTAAAAGTAATTTTGTTTTTGTTTACTACTCTAAAAAGGTGTTAGATTTCAAAATTCTTATAAAGTTTTCTTCTTGTTTTATTCATGATTTTAAACCAATTTAAGGAAAACGCGTTTTCTTTATTTGTAAATTTTTAAAAATATATTTCCGTTTCTGCACATTAAATTTGAAATGTTTCCAATTAGTATTTATTGTCTTCTTGATTTTTTTGGAAAGACGAATCTGTAATATCATCATCATTACTAAGGGAAGGGGTGATGTATCACTAATCAGAATCCAGATTGCTAGACTGCTGTTATTCAAATACTCCATGTTACAGAGATCTTTTATTTATTTATGATTTGATCAATTTATAAAAATAAAATAAAAAGTAAAGGGTGATTTCTTCTTTTAATAACCCACAAAAAATAAATAGAAGAGAAGCAAAGTGGTGGTGACTAACGAAGCTTCTTTGTTTCTTCACCCATGGCGGATCCTAGTCAAGCCAGTTTCTGGGCGCAGACAAATGCGTTACTTCGAAAGAACTTAACCTACCAGGTATGGGTATTGTGAAAATATAACTTGATGGATCGTCATCTCTAGAATCTGCAGTGTAAACTACGAAACATTTTTTTGTTAAATGAGATACGATGTTGTTGTCCAAAAAAAAAAAAAAAGAAACATGTTTTGAATCTCTAGTTCAGACTCGATTATTCTATGTTATTTTTGGTGCAGAGGAGACACATATGGACTAATGTTAGACTCGTCCTGGTTCCACTCTTGCTTTGCTTACTTCTCCTGGCGCTTCAGCTTATGATTAATGCTGTGACGAAAATGGCCTCTAGCATAATTGACTGTAAAAATACAGATGAGTTTTCTAGTGGTGGTGATTGTCCCGTCCCAAACCCTCTATTGTTGCCTCCATTGTTAGGGATTCCAGAACCTGAATATCGTGCTGTCAGAGATGGTTTCTTTTCGTACAAGGACCTTCCTGACAAGTCTTGTAGAAAAACAGGGACTTGTCCTGTTACTATACTTCTTACTGGGAATAACCATTCCCTTGGTCAAGGTATATGCTTCTTTGATACATTTACTGTGTTTTTCTTTCTGTTGCTTTGTAACTTATCTGCTCAAGTGGTTGTTTCTACAGCTATATCTGAGAATATGTTTGGTGGTTCTTTTGCTGTGAATTCCTCTGACCTCTTGTCTAGTTTAGCCAATCATGTCTTGGTATGTTTTGCTATTTCTCTCCATCAAAAAATAAGTGCAGACATCGATCTATATATATATCCACATCTCTGTGCATGTCTTAGATTTTTACCAAAGGTCATGATGACTTCAGGGTTCAACAATGCCAGCAGGCACAGACAATTATGCAGATCCAGGGATTCAGTCGGGTATCCCCATCTACAGCATCCAAACTCAGTGCAGTCCAAACGCTACATGGCCACTCTCGTTTGGCAAAACTCATATAGGTATCTTTTATACTTCTTGCTATTCAAAAAGGTCTTGAAAATGAGAGAGTAAAATGTACAGCTAGAAATGAGATTTTCTTTTTTCTTCGCTTTGATGATTAATGTAATGGTTTGTGCCTATATATCTCAGAGGTGAAGTGTGTTCAAGGGTTGTGTTCCTGGAGAAATAACTCTGTAGAGGTCAATGATGAGATTTTCAAGAGTAGTTGGAGGGGAAATCCTGAGCGGATGACGAATGAGATTGCTGCAGGTTGGTTAAATATTATTCTATACATATATATGTATGCTAAGTATCAACCTGACTGTTGATGTACTTTTTGTTGCCTTAGCATACGATCTCTTGAATACGGATAGAAACAACTTAGACGTGACCATCTGGTATAACACAACAGACAGTGACGCCGACTCTTCAAGTGTATCTTTGGTTCGAGTTCCTCGCTTGCTCAATCTGGTATGAAAATAAGCCAGGCTATATTTACTCTCAAGACATCATCATTTTTTTAATTTGTAATGTATGCTCTTTTACATGTTTCTTTTGTGGAACCGATCCAAAATGTTCACACTACTGTGCAATTAAAATTGCAGGTATCAAATGCTTATCTTAAGTTTCTGAAAGGCCCCGGGACAAGGATATTATTTGAGTTTGTCAAAGAAGTTCCTAAACATGGAACTAAACACATTCAAGACATTGCCTCCTTGATTGGTCCACTTTTCTTCACTTGGGTTCTTCTTCTTTTGTTCCCGGTAAGTTTTCTTACAGTTAATATATATAGGACATTATTAATTCATCCCATTCTATGTATAATAACAGCTAAGATATTAAAAAAAAAAAAAAAATCATGCAGGTGATCTTGACATCATTGGTGTATGAGAAACAAGAGCGTCTAAGAATTATAATGAAAATGCACGGGCTAGGCGATGGTCCATATTGGATGATTTCTTATGCCTATTTTCTTACTCTGTCTATGTTGTATGTTATATCTTTGGTGATCTTCGGTTCTGCTATAGGGCTCAACTACTTCCGGCTCAATGACTATAGCATTCAGTTCGTTTTCTTTTTCATCTTCACAAATCTGCAAATCTCTTTCGCCTTTTTAGTATCTTTGATATTCTCGAAGGTTAAGACTGCAACAGGTACTAAACATCACAGTTCTTGAATCATCTCAAGATCAAATGTTAAATTTCAGAAAACGGCTTCTTGATTTTATTTGGCTTAATTGTAGTTGTTGCTTACACATTGGTGTTTGGAAGTGGGCTCTTGGGAAGTTTTCTCTTCCAATCACTGCTTGAAACTCCCTCATTCCCCGGTAAGTGAACAAAATCAATACGTTGAAGAAAAAATACACAAGTTTATATATGACCACTTAGTAACTAGTATCTACCTTAACAGAAAAATGGATTCTTGCCTTGGAGCTGTATCCGGGATTTTCCTTATACCGCGGATTGTATGAGTTCTCGGAATCTGCCTCCCGTGGTGACGGGATGAAGTGGCAAGATCTCAGCGAAAACGGAATGGATAAGCTGTTCTACTTCATGTCAGTGGAGTGGTTTGTGACTCTCACTGTGGCCTACTGTATAGATGTGGGTTTTTCATCCGGGAAGAGTCCTTTCTTATTCTTCAAGAACCCTTTCAAGAAATCATCTTCCCTACCAAGTCCTAGTGTCCAAAGCTCTGACAACGTCCTCATTGACATGGATAAAACAGATGTCACTCAGGAGGTATGGGAAGCAAAGAATCTTTAAGTCTTGTTATTTATTTCCATGTTTCTCGTTCTGACAAAATATGAAAATAATCAGAGGGAAAAAGTTGAACAATTGAGGAAAGAATGGAGCACAGGGCATGCCATCGTGTGTGACAACCTGAAGAAGGTGTATCCAGGTAGCGATGGTAACCCAGAAAAACTAGCGGTAAGAGGGTTATATCTCGCTGTGCCTTCAGGAGAATGCTTTGGCATGCTTGGACCCAATGGTGCTGGCAAAACCTCTTTCATCAATATGGTGAGTTTCGCAAAACCACTTTTTGTACATTACATAATCGTTTCATAGTGTCAAAACTTTGTAACATTGTACTGTCGCGCTAGATGACCGGCCTCCTGAAACCGACATCTGGAACTGCGTTGGTTCAAGGTTTAGACATATGCAAGGATATGAACAAAGTATATACAAGCATGGGTGTATGCCCCCAGCATGAGTAAATCCCCTTTCAAGTTTTTTCATTGTATCCCTTTACCGAGCAAATAAGCAACACCTAGAGGAACGGTTTTAATGGTCTTTTTTTTTTGTTTGTCTCAGCTTGCTTTGGGAGACCCTAACAGGAAGGGAGCATCTGCTCTTTTACGGGAGACTAAAGAGTATCAAGGGCTCTGCTCTAACGCAAGTATGTTTATCGATCGTTTGCAATTATCTTATGTATGGGTTAATTATTACTTCACAAGACAATGTTGATTCATGGATATGTGATCATTTTACAAGGCTGTGGAAGAGTCTCTCAAAAGTGTCAGCCTTTTCGATGGAGGAGTTGCAGACAAACAGGCTGGAAAATACAGCGGAGGTATGAAAAGGCGACTTAGTGTGGCTATTTCGCTTATCGGAAACCCAAAGGTGAAACTCCTGTTCTCTTGTTATGTAATGTTGTAAACAATGTCTAAACTTTATTACCTAAACCATGGTCTGATATTTGTTAAAAGGTGGTTTACATGGATGAGCCTAGCACTGGACTTGATCCAGCCTCAAGAAAGAACTTATGGACAGTGATCCAGCGTGCAAAACAGGCCACCGCCATAATCCTGACAAGTATTTTCAATCTCTTTTTCACTACTCTCCTACATCTGAGTCTGATTGATACCATGAAACTGAACCTAATATATCTCTTAGCTAAGACTCATTTTTTCAAAAAGGGCTGTGAAAGGCATGCAATTACATTTCATAAGAAAGTGATGGATATTTTAACCTAGAGAAGCTTGTCCCTCACGTATTTCAGCTCACTCGATGGAAGAAGCAGAGTTTCTTTGCGACCGGTTGGGGATATTTGTAGATGGAGGCTTACAATGTGTAGGAAATCCGAAAGAGTTAAAGGGAAGGTATGGAGGATCGTATGTCTTCACGATTACGACCTCAGCTGAACACGAGGAGAAAGTAGAGAGAATTGTTCGACGTATTTCACCAAACGCCAAGAGAGCATATCACTTAGCAGGAACACAGAAATTTGAGATCCCTAAGCAAGAAGTCATGATTGCAGATGTGTTTTTGATGGTGGAGAAGGCCAAAAGCAAATTCACAGTTTTTGCTTGGGGACTCGCCGATACAACTCTCGAAGACGTCTTCTTCAAGGTTGCTACAACTGCTCAAGCCTGAGAAACTCTTTGTCTTAATGATTCACCCTACCTTGGGTATTGTTATTATTCAAGTTAGGGCTTCTTATTGACAAATTTAATGCCTTAAGAAACACGTTAACTGCAGTAGACTTTCTAGTCAGTGTTTTGAAACTTGCAATTTGATAAATAATCCCGTACTGTTGGATCTTAAAAACGTTTCTCCTAATTATAACAGCAACATGATGAATAAAAGAAACACTCTAAAGCACATCACCGTCCGTGATTCCAGAGCTAGAGCCAGAGCCAGTAATTAAGGACCTCATCATGTTCTTTATATGCTCTTGATCGACCCCAAAAACTCCTCCAATGTTCACCACTCCAGGATTCTGGCTATTGTAAAACGAGAGAGCAGTGGCTCCTTCGAAGCCACTGCTTAAACAGAAATGAAGCAATCCTTTGGGGAAGACAAAAACATCACCTTTTCGCAGAACCGTCTGAAAAATCTTGTTTTTGGTATCCACAAATCCAGCAAATATGACTCCGCTGACCACAAAGAGCATCTCGGATGACCTCGGATGTGAATGGAAGGGCACAGATCCATCCCTTTCCAGGTCCATGCGAGAGACTGAGAGGCCTAGAGTGTTGAGACCAGGAAACTCTGATGCAGTGAGCAATGTGACGTTCGACTGAAGATAGTTGTCTGTGTCTCCAGCTACTCTAAGTTTGGTGGACTTGAAATCTTGAGCGTTGATCTCGGTCGGGTTCTTGCAAGGATAACCATTGATGAAGAAGATACTTTGTTCTCCTGGAGCCGTCGGACATGTGTCCTGCATATTGTCTGAATCCGGGGAGACAGATGATAAGATCGCACAAAACATGATCACCACGACAATTTTCATCCTTGTGAATTCGTGATGAAGAGTACTTAACTTATAATTAATCAGACATATATAGATATTACAGGAAAGCAATAAAAAGAAGTACTCTGTTTCTAGGCGATGTGGCTTAGATTTGAGTACACTACTTAGTGGCTTTTTGAGTAAGATTATGTTTTAAGATGAAAATCGCTTCTAAGTAACACTTTTCACTGTTTTCCAACTTATTGATATTGACATAATTACTTCTTCAAGCTCTAGTTTCATTTTGTTTGCCCGACAATGTACTTTTGCGTTGCTATGACAGGGAACCAAAGAAGCTTAACTGGTTAAAGATTAATTCCATGCAACTTTAGGTATTTTTCTCTTATGAGAAAGTACAATGGTTTGGTTAACCAAATTATACATGAATTAACAGGGACAAACGTTTATGTCCAAAACCAGATTTAATCCAATGAAGGAAAAATTTGGAGATTTATTTGAATTTGAGCCGGGAAGAAACCATTTCTCTAGTGCCCATTTTCAAGCGGGGAAGTATTGGTTTCATCGCGCTGGTCTATGCTCTGAAGAATATCTTTGATGAACTTTATGAAAGAGCAGAGTCCACCCAAGAAATTATGGTCGATGACGCCGTTTCCATCAAGAACATGCGCGAAGTCCACCAGCTTTACTTGTGCTTGTACCGCCTGCACATTATCTCCTCCTTTCGTCAAGATCGATTCATTCTCAAAAATCATCAGAATCGAGCAAGAGTTGAAATGGTAAAGCGTTTGGGTTTCGAACCAATCCTTGAGCTCCAACAACTGCACTAAGATCCCATTAGAACCACCATAAACCTCTGACGCAAAAGCACAGTTAGGTATCAAGTTAGAGTCAGCTGGCGAGTTTGACGACACAAACTTCCTCAGAGCCAATCTAGCGCCAGCGGCATTGTACCCAAGAACAAGCTTCTTTTCAGCTCTCCAAAAACTTGATTCTTGGTGGTCGAAAATCTTAAAACCCGAGACCCTGAAGCCCAACGAAACCGTGGTGGTCTCTTTGTCTTTCTTAATGCATTTCTTGAAGTATTCTTCAGATACATCCGGGTACCATGTCCTCGATCCAATCTTAACATCCATTACGGACGGATTCGAGTACCCCGAAACAACATCATCAAGAACAAGATGAGGAAGCTTGCCAGATCCATCAGATGCTTCAACTAACTGAGTGCCGTGATACACTGGGAAGTATCTATGAATGTGATCTGGAACCTTCTTGTTAGACGTGAAAGACTCATAGAACTTAGCCTCGTGTTCGCCACGAGAATCTCCCTGAAGTGGCTTGAAGAACCGGCCTTGGTCATCAACGAGTGGACCGAGCTTACCATCACTAGCAATGTGACCAGCAACTTGGTGTTCAGGGACCTTGAGCATCTTTCTGCAAGAATTTATATGATGATGATGAATCTGAAGAACAAGAAATCAAAATTCAATATATCTTACAGCAAGAAAAAAAAAACTGAATCGTTCTTAAGACATAATATAGATCATTGATCTAAAATCAAAGTAGACGATTAGATCCGAATAACAAAAAAGACGAGAGCCGGGCAGTGAAAGTTTCATCCTTTCAAAATCAACAAACGCAAAAATCCAAAATAATGTCATATTCTTATGAATCAAACCTAGGGCTCTTCAATTACAAAAAAAAAAACAAAAAACAAGTAAATCAGATTTATTCGAGTTCATCGTTGAAGCAGAGAAAACAAAAAAGCGCAAGAATTAACAAACCCAGAATCATAATAGGACAAAACAATAAACAATTTGAGATCTCAAAAAGCGAGCAAAAAGTGAAAAATCTTTAGATATTAGAATAAGCATTGAATTGAACTTTATGATTTTTCTGGTAATAACACATAAAAACTGAGTTGGAGCAAACACTGAAAGATTAATCAAAGAAATTATCAACATTAAGGATGAAATTTTATTACCAAACTAAATCTCCTCGGAGAAATTTTGAAACTGCCAAAGATGATCGAAAAGAAGTGAAAATTGTTCTTTGCAAAATAAAAATTTCCAAGCTACCTTGTCGGGAAGACGAATAAATCAATAAAGTAAATTGAATCAAAATTCTTTTTGAGAAAATATCAAAACACTAAACCGGGCTCGTGACGAACCGGATTTCAGAGATAAACCGGTTTGGATTATATAGGGCTTCTTCTTCATCAGATATATACAAACTTGAGTCTTTTACAAATCAGCCGTCATCTCCCTACTCCGGCCGGCGAAATTAGGGATTGGTAATAATCTCAAATTCGATTGTTTTAATCTCGCTTTTGGAATCATTCATTGTTCTGGTGTATTTATATTTGTATAAACCCTCGTTCTCTCTCTCTCAAGGGTTTTTGAGAGGTTTTTGCTTTGCTTTGTTTACACATAAACATGTTTCGTCTTTGTTGTATTCACCAATCCGAATTTTTGTCTTTCCAGAAGCTATAGCTGTTTGGGGGGTGAGTAAAAAAACTAAATGGGTCGTTTCAAAAACGTAAGTTTGTGTTTGGGAGTTTCTCTACGAATTCGTGTTTATTATCTCTTCTGTTTTCAGTCATAATGTACTTACTGGTTCGTGATTCGATATAGAATAAGAAGAGTAGGGTCATTGTGAAGCCCATTTCGAAGAAAAATCAAGAGGATGTTAGTCATGTCACTGGGGATAAGATTCCCAAGAGTTTTGTGTTTTCAAGGATGAAACTTCCTGGCTCTGTTAAACAACTTCAGATGGATTTGAGGAAGCTCATGCTTCCCTACACTGCTCTCAGTTTAAAGGTCAGTTTTTTACTAAACTCTTACTCAGCTTATAGTTGGGGAAAACACACTAACTGGAGAAAAGCCAAGGGCTTTCTTATGTATGGAGGGTTGTGAATTTTAACCATTACTGATGCAAGTTGTTGTTATTTTTATCATCTTTCTCTTTGCAGGAGAAGAAGCGAAACACTTTAAGGGACTTTTTGAATGTATCAGGTCCAATGGGTGTTACTCATTTCCTTATGCTTTCCAAAACAGCGTCTGCACTGAATCTAAGAGTAGCAAGAACACCGCAGGGACCGACACTTACATTTAAAATTCATCAGTATTCCTTAGCATCAGATATAGCTCAGTCTCAGCTTAGGCCCAGATGTCCTCCAGATCTATTCAAGACTCCCCCTTTGGTAATTAGTCTCTCTCTTCTCTCTTGCACTTATTATGGCTTTTGTAGTCTGTGGGATTTGCCAAAACTTGACAATGTTAAATTTCTCTTCGTTTAGATTGTTCTTTCTGGATTCGGTTCTCAGGAGTTGCATCTGAAACTGGCGACAATTATGTTTCAGAACATATTCCCATCTATTGATATTAACACTGTAAGTTTGTTGCCTAGAACTTAATATATACTGAGTTATTGATTTTAACTTGTTGCAGCAATTTGATTTTGTTCCTCTGATGGTGAAATATATTTAGGTCAAGCTCTCCACATGCCAGAGACTAGTTCTCTTGCACTACAACAAAGACACAAAGCTCATTGATTTCCGGCATTATTCTATTAGACTTCAGCCTGTTGGAGTGTCTCGTAGGATCAGAAAGTTTGTGCAAAATCATCAGGTTCCCGATCTCAGGAATCTGCAGGACGTTAGTGATTTTGTCACCAAGTAAGGATCCACATCAGGTCAATCTGTTTGTAATGTTTACCTCTCGGTATCGATGTAGATGGATTGATGTGGTATTTTGTCCGTATTTTGTCTGTTTATGTATTTTCAGGGCTGGTTACGGATCAGAGAGTGAAGGAGATGAAGAAGCGGCAACGGTGACACTATCATCTGATCTAGGCCGAGTTAACAAAGGTGCCACAAAGAGTGCAGTCAAACTGCAAGAAATTGGACCGAGAATGACTATGCAACTCGTAAAAGTGGAGGAAGGATTGTGTACAGGCGGAATCATATTCAGTGAATATGGTAAATGTTAATCTTATCCCTTACATTGTGGATTAAATCTCCCATCTGATTTCAAGTTTGTTTTTCAGAAAATGTGGATGGAAAGAAAACATGAAGAAGAAACAGGATGAAGATGTTGATGATGAAGAAGAAGATAGTGAAGAAGGTGAAGAAGAGGGTAGTGAAGAGGATGGAGAAGACATGGATGAAGATTTTGAAGATTGAAGAGTTAAATAGTGTATAACACTGTTTATTACATGAGACTCGAAAGTCATTAAGTTTTGTTCCTTGATACAAATATGACAACTACTACAAAGCCGTTTGTACGATGAAACTAAATTTCTTCTGGGATTTAGTATTTTGACAGAATGAACTAGATATCATGTTTTCGCAGTTTCTCAGTTTCTCAAATATTAATTCTCTTCTTTTTATAGCAGAAAGTTGTCTGAATTTTCTAGTTTTGAGAATTTGAAAGATATCAAAATCAGTGTCAGTGCTATTGTATTGGCATTTTGACGAGAATATTCATAATACAAAAGATAAAATCTGTTATTTAACTTGGTATTAGTATTAGACTAGAATCTAGAGACTAATAATCACAAGCATAATTGAAATCGCGATAAAATTATTCCCTTTAGTTTTAAAACTTACAGATTCTGAGATACGTCATCAACCCACTAGGGTAATAGATCATCTTGAGTTGGTTGATACTGATACTCTTTAAAGTCTATACGTGATTACGTATATTCGATGCAGAGGAAGTAGAAAAAGACGTAAGTACCAATCTGTTGAGGAATCTAACGGCGATTCCTGTGGGCTGTGGGACGATGACTTACATATGTTACGTATCTTAAACTTTATTTTTGCTATGCCCTCCAAATTTTACTTGTTTCCAAAATACACTCTTTTTTATTGTTATTCAAAAATAAAGTGAAAATATATAAAAATTCATATGGTTATAAAGTGTGCCATTTATAAACCTTCCAAAATTGGAACCTCATATATATATATATATATGAGTGTTTCCAAAATCAGCGCATAAGCTGTTAGTTCTTTTTCTAAATATCGGTTATGCGGTGCTTTTTTGCGCTTTCAATAGATTTCAATTCCAAAGCGGGAAACAAGGTTCCAATAAAACTTACGTATACTGTACTTTCTAAATTATATCTAACGGACTAAACTAGATATACACTATTTTTAAGGAAATATGAATATATTATATTGGCCTAGTTAATCCTAAATATATGGAAGTATCCAATATATATAATCTGTGAAAAAAATAAATCAAGGAACCACCAATGGTTCTTTCAAAGATTTTCCATTATTGCATATATGGGAAGACATCTTTTGAGATATGATAATTTTCCCCCTAAATCAAACATACCACATATACTGATTACAGATTTGAGAACACACATTAATTTCTCCTTTACCAAAAAAAAAAGAAAAAGGAACATTGTTCTATGGAAAAGAAAAAATTAGTAGCTAACTGAAGTTAAATAACTATTTTGCCGATAGGGTCATAGAGGTGAATACTAAGTAATATAAACTATATAAAGCTAGATAAAAAAGATGAGAAGTATGAACGGTGATAAGTTTAAGATTTTGGTCGGAAGTAGAGCGTGTTTGGGCAGATAGAAATTTTCAGACAGAAGGGTTGTATGTTACGACTTATTACGAGAGTATTAAAGACCCAATTCTCTTGAAAAAAACGAACGTACGAACGTATTTAAAACGTGCAAGTTTCTTCTTCTCTCTCGTGTTATTGTATTCAATTCACACCTCTTACTATTTTATTTGTCATGGATTTTATGGCTTTTATTAATTGCAGATATGTTTCCTCAAAATAAACACTATTAATTTCCTTCTTTTTCAACTAATTAATAATATATTTTAAAAACTTTGTAATCAATCCTCAATAAAAACGTAATCCAACTTTTTATGTTTTCCTAATAAACTCAACAAGAGTTTTAATTAATTTGGCAAAAATAGTCCAAAATTAAAAGAGTTTTTTTATTATTATAAAACAAATCTTCAAAAATTAATGGAATCAAGAGGTAATTAAATGAGAAAATATGGATTAAAAATATAAAGTATAATATCCGGTTTGGTTTATATTCTCCTTTGTTTATATTTTCTTTCCTTGAACCTCTCCTCTGCACAATCTTTCTTCCTTCCTCTCAGCTCTCTCTCTCTCTCTCTCTTGAGATCTGTTCTTCTTATAAGTGTCTCTCTCAATCTTGACAACTTCTCATTCCTTGTCTTCTCCACTCTTTTGTTCTTCTTTTTTTATTAAGTTTCAGTCATCGTCATAGAGAGTTAAGGTTGATTTTTACGTTTCTTAATCTTCATCAGATCTAGTTTTCATCACCAATCACGGATAAATCCAGGTATCTTCATCGGAATTATCGAAATTAATGATCTTAGATCTATCTGTTTTGTTTATTCTAATCTTTGATCTGATCCTCTTTTGTCCTATTTGCTTGCGATCGTGTTCTCGTGTGAGAATTTTTTTTTTTTTTTTTCTAGCTCGATCGAACTCTCTGTGGTGTAGATCGAGGCGAATGTAGTGCTTTCGTGATGGATGATGGATATTTGTTAATGGATGCATGTGTGGATTTTTTCTTTTTTGTTCGTGATTCAATGATTTTACATACTGATCTGTTGTGATAGAATTCTCAATTTTGGTTGTGTTTTTAATTCTGAGCTAAATTGAAGTATGGATCGTGTAAGAACCAATGTATCATGTTGGAAAAGGAAAATACACTTTTTTGATAACTTTAATTTCTCGTTTCAGAGTGTAAGAATCAATGTGTATTTGTGGTTAGTGGTAACATTTTATATTGTATAGATTACTTTTTGTTTTTTGACTTTTTGTTTTTTTTTGTTTCTTTTGTAGGTCTTAGCCAATCACCAACATGGCGACTGTGGCAGCAACTGAGAACCAATGGCTCAAAGGGAGAGTGAAGGCTGTTACTTCCGGAGACTGCATGGTGATCACTGCTTTGACCCACAGCAGACTTGGTCCTCCACCGGAAAAGACCATCACTCTTTCTTCTCTTATGGCTCCTAAGATGGTGAGAGCTTCCTTCATAATACTCTTTTTTATTTTATTTTTCCATAATTTAGAATATGCTTTCTCATTGTTTGGTTTGGTGTCCCTGTTTCAGGCTCGCAGGGGAGGTATAGATGAGCCTTTTGCATGGGAAAGCAGAGAGTTTCTAAGGAAGCTTTGCATTGGAAAGGTGATTAGTTGAAACTCTTGAACCACTAATGCTATAAAATTATGGAATTGAGAATGTCTTTTTAATTCTTGAGCAGTTTATTTCTTGAGCAGGAAGTTGCTTTCAAAGTGGATTACAAAGTGGAAGCTATTGCTGGAAGAGAATTTGGCTCGGTTTACCTTGCCAACCAAAATGTTGCTAAGCTTGTTGTTCAAAATGGCTGGGCAAAGGTGACAACAGTTTTATTTCTCTAGATAGCATTGTCTAAGGTATGATGCTTGGATCAGCTTTCTGATACGATGGAATGCACAGGTCAGAGAGCCAGGTCAGCAGAATCAGGATAAGGTTAGTCCTTACATTGCGGAGCTATTACAGCTTGAAGAGCAGGCTAGGCAGGAAGGGTTTGGTCGTTGGAGCAAGGTTGGTGTCTCATGTACTCTGTTCCTTTATGTTTGGTTTTTGAAATCTTTTTCTGTTTTATATGATGAGATATAATATATGTATTCTTGATTTGCTGACTTAATACAGGTTCCTGGTGCTGCTGAGGCATCTATTAGAAATCTTCCTCCTTCTGCCGTTGGGGATTCTGGGAATTTTGATGCCATGGGTCTTTTAGCCGCAAGTAAAGGCAAGCCTATGGAAGGTATTGTTGAGCAAGTCCGTGATGGCAGTACCATCCGCGTTTACCTTCTTCCGGAATTTCAGTTTGTGCAAGTATTTGTTGCTGGACTCCAGGTATTAATCTTGTTTCCTTGATTTTGCTGCGCGAGACATTTTACTTTCATGGTCTAAGAGTGCTGGAAATTTTCTGTATAGGCGCCCTCGATGGGAAGGAGACAACCTACACAAGAAGCTATTGTTGAGCCGGATGTTACAGCTACTTCAAATGGAGATTCTTCTGCTGAATCACGTGGTCCTATAACATCAGCTCAGAGACTCGCTGCTTCGGCAGCCTCGTCCGTTGAGGTTTCCTCCGATCCATTTGCAATGGAAGCCAAGAACTTTACTGAGTTTCGTGTGCTTAATAGAGATGTACGGAGGTTTTACATCAAATTTGTCTTCACATTTATCTGTATTTGACAGTAAGATGATCTAAAATGTGCTGGATTGTGCAGGTTCGCATTGTTCTTGAAGGCGTGGACAAATTCAACAATCTGATCGGATCAGTTTACTATTCAGAAGGGGAAACAATAAAAGACTTGGGTTTGGAGCTTGTTGAAAATGTAAGTGCAAAAATCACATGGTTATTTGTTTTTAAACATGATTACATATTGAACTAATTGGCAATGAAAGTTTGGTTTTGTCACAACGTTGCTGGTAAAAAATAGAGTAGGTGGTCCATTGAATAGTTTGTAGTTTTCTTGGTAGATTTGGAACTTCATTTCTTATATGTTGAATCAATGGAAACTAGGATTGTTTAATGATGTTGAGTAAAAGTTATGACACTTTATGCTCTTCCTTTTCCTCAGGGTCTTGCTAAGTATGTTGAGTGGAGTGCCAACATGTTGGAGGAAGAAGCCAAAAAGAAGTTGAAAGCTGTTGAACTTCAATGCAAGAAAAACCGAGTAAAAATGTGGGCAAACTATGTCCCTCCAGCTTCCAACTCTAAGGCAATTCATGATCAGAACTTTACCGGAACGGTAATAATTGCGTGTGCAGATTCTTGGTAAATATATTGTCTTCCGTCCATTTCACTAGTTTTTAGTTCTTACTAGTTTGTACCCTCTTCAGGTAGTGGAAGTTGTGAGTGGGGACTGCTTAGTAGTTGCCGATGATTCTATCCCATTCGGGAGCCCAATGGCAGAGCGCCGAGTTTGTCTATCAAGTATTAGGGCTCCTAAAATGGGTAACCCACGCAGAGAGGAGAAACCTGCCCCTTATGCACGGGAAGCAAAGGATTTCCTCATTAAAAAACTTATTGGAAAGCAGGTATTGCAATATGCCTTCTCACTTAATTTTATCACGCTGTGCCACACAGGAGTAAGATCTCTGACTTCCTTTTTCCCCGGTGCAGGTTATCGTTCAAATGGAATACTCAAGGAAGGTCATCCCAGGGGATGGTGTTACCACGTCTGGAGCTGGTGAGAGAGTCATGGATTTTGGTTCAGTATTCCTTCCATCTCATACCAAGGGTGAAACAGATGTAGCTGCTGCGACAACTCCTGGAGTGAATATTGCTGAACTCATTATTGCTCGTGGCCTCGGGAATGTAGTTAGACATCGTGACTTTGAGGAGAGGTCTAACCATTATGACGCTCTCCTGGCTGCTGAAGCTCGTGCTATTGCTGGGAAGAAGGGGATCCAATCTGCAAAGGATTCTCCAGTCCTGCACATTGCAGACCTGACTGTCGCCTCGGCTAAGAAGGCTAAAGATTTCCTGCCATCCCTGCACAGAGGCGGGAAAATACCTGCCCATGTGGAATATGTCCTGAGTGGCCATCGGTTCAAGCTATACATCGCAAAGGAATCGTGTAGTATCGCCTTTGCATTTTCTGGTGTTAGATGCCCTGGCCGTGGCGAACCTTATTCAGAGGAGGCTATTGGTTTAATGAAACGTAAGATCATGCAGAGAGACGTCGAGGTAAAAATCTGACATTTGACGCCTAACATCTTGATTTTTCTTTTTTCTCTTTTCGTTTCTATATGAGTCTTACATAGTCCCTTATGATCACATAGATTGTAGTTGAAACTGTGGATAGAACTGGTACCTTTCTGGGATCAATGTGGGAATCAAATACCAACGTAGGAACATATATTCTTGAAGCTGGCTTGGCAAAAATGCAAACTGGCTATGGTGCAGACAGGATTCCTGAAGCTCATCTTCTTGAACGGGCAGAGCGATCTGCTAAAAATCAGAAATTGAAGGTAACAACAATACATGATATCTTTTACTTCAGAAATGCATCTCGTCTAAAAAATTTACTTCCTCAACTGTATGATGTCACAGATTTGGGAAAACTATGTTGAAGGAGAGGAAATGGTAAATGGTAGTTCTACAGTAGAAACCAGGCAGAAGGAAACATTAAAGGTAGCCGTATGTTTATTTGGACAAGTCATAGTTTAATACTGAAACGGATACCTTAATTTACTCTTCATCGCCTCCCATTACAGGTTATTGTTACGGAAGTACTTGGAGGCGGTCGATTCTATGTTCAGACGGTTGGCGATCAAAAAGTAGCTTCGATTTCGAACCAGCTTGCATCTTTAAGTCTTAAAGACGCTCCCATTATTGGATCGTTTAATCCTAAGAAGGGTGACATCGTCCTTGCACAGTTTAGCCTAGATAACTCATGGAACCGTGCAATGGTGAATTATCAACTTTCTATACACCCCAACCATTATTTCTTCTTATTTACTATCACATGTGGTTTGTTCATTTTATTTCTTCTTTGTGTTAAGATTGTTAATGGACCTCGAGGAGCAGTTCAGTCTCCAGAGGAAAAATTTGAAGTTTTCTACATTGATTATGGAAACCAAGAAACAGTTCCATACAGTGCAATTCGTCCTGTCGACCCTTCAGTATCCTCAGCACCAGGGCTCGCACAGCTCTGCAGACTTGCCTACTTAAAAGTTCCAAGCCTGGAAGACGACTTCGGTCCTGAAGCTGGAGAGTATTTGCATACAGTCACACTAGGTAGTGGTAAAGAGTTCAGGGCAGTGGTAGAGGAAAGAGATACTTCAGGAGGCAAAGTGAAAGGCCAAGGAACTGGAACCGAGCTTGCAGTAACTCTCATCGCTGTCGATGATGAGATCTCTGTCAATGCAGCAATGCTTCAGGTCAGTGCCTTGCTTTTTCTTTTTTCAGTTCCTCCAAAACTTTTGAGTATTGTCATAAACCTAAGAGTGAAATGTATTGTTATGATCATAGGAAGGAATAGCGAGGATGGAGAAACGCAGAAAATGGGAACCGAAATACAAGCAAGACGCTCTCGATGCTCTTGAGAAGTTCCAAGATGAAGCTCGCAAATCGAGGATCGGAATCTGGCAGTACGGAGACATCCAGTCTGATGATGAAGACACCGTTCCGGTCAGGAAACCAGGTCGCGGGTAGGTTTTTTACACCAGTGAAAAACTTGATGGTCCAGAGAGGCATCATGAAGAAGAGGAAGAGAGAATCCATCGGGTTCTCTTTAAATGAGTTAAGAAGCGAGCGAGATGATATTTGCTTGCAAGCATCAAACTTTTTGTAACGTTTAGAATTCTCTTTTTCTTTTTTTCTTTTTTTCTCTCTTTTCTTTCTAATTTATCTTTTTTTTTTGGTTTATAGACTCCAAAAAGAAAATTTTCTATTTATTTAGGAGTACGAGACGATCATATCTTGCTCTGTACATATGTTTGACAAAAAAACATGATAAAGGTGATGTAACTTCAGGTTATCAAAGTTGACAAATATACGTGGGACTTCCTCGCTTAGTTAGTGTGTGCAACCGTCTTTTGAGCTTTTACCATTTCTCTCCAGAATTTATCTTCTCTGAGTAATCTTCAAATTTATCTGGTTTGTTCATTTACTCAGTCTTTTTTATGGAATGAGTTCAATCATTTTTTTCCTCCTTTCGTCCCTCTAATTGTACGACATTTGCTTATGTCAATTTGTTGGCGTACATGATCATTTATCTTACTGATCTTTCGCTATAAAGACTATTGATTTAGACAAGAAACTTTGATGTTTGGAGTAACCAGTTACTTTTCAAGGGGAAGAAAAATGAAACAGAAACTACAATTTGGCTGTCAAGATTCAAGAAAACTGTCTCACTTACATATTCCTCACCTCCCTTCCCCCTTTCTTTGTTTTTTTCGCTAAAAGACAAAAAAATCCGATTATATAGGCTACAGCAGAAAACAACATTCAACCCAAAACCAAAAACAGAACAAAAAAAAAATTATCTGAAAGTTTCCTTTGACATCTTCGAAAACTACTTAAACTTTGTTCTAATTATCACGTCTCGGTTGCCTTTTACGTGGTGCGGCGGTTTCTTCCTTCTTCTCTGCCTCATCCTCACTCTTTGAACTCTCTGCTACTTCTGGTTTCTTCTTTTCCAAAGGTGCCACAGCCTATTCCACCATTATCATTTCTTTATATAAGGTTCCTTCTCACAATTGATCATTATGCACAAAATTCAGAGAGTTGTTTTTCTTACCTTTTTGCCACCAAAGATAAGCTTGACAAATAGGGAAAAGAATACGACCACAATGGAGACGAGAACACCAACGGTTAAGTTTGGTTGTTGCTCAGCTTTCTCAATCAGTTCCTACAAAAGACACAATTCCCATCTCTGTCAATGTCGAGTCACAGTCATCACATTCAATACTATTGTAAATGAGGTAGAACTTACTGTGATCTTAGACTTGTAGGCACTTAGGAAAGATAAATCTGCAACCTTGTTCAAGAGGTCAAATACAATCTTCTGCAACATCATGCATACAAATATGATTGTCAGTATACGAAAAGCCTTCATGTATATGATTCATAAGAGTTAATTCTGTGGAAAATCAATTTACCTGGTAGCTCTTAAGACCATCTGCAGAGCCAGCAGCTTCTTCTTCTGCCTTTTGTTTCTCTTTCTCAACATCGAATTTGGGTTTCCATGTGGTCTGTCTGTAAGTCTCAGCGACCTTCTCATCTTTCGCTATCAAGATGTTGTCAAACAAGATTCCGTCTTGCATTGTCCAGATCTCAATACCGATGGCTGCAATGGGTTCATAATCTGGTCTGTCTAACTCAAAGTAGTCAGGGTTAGGAATATCTCTGGGCTTCCAGATTCCCTTGTAAGCAGGGTTATCGATAAGAGGAGAACTCCATTTGCCCTTGTAAGCAGGATTCCTCTTCATTGGTCTCTTCCATTCACCACAACCAGGTGCTGCTTCACACTTGGGGTTGTCAATCTTAGGAGCCTCCCACATACCATCTTCCTCATCATCCCAATCTTCAGGCTTGGTCGCCTCAGGGTCATCAACCTCCTCAGGCTCATCATCTAACCATCCTTCAGGTTTCTCAGCTTCCTCATCTTCAATCTCCATAGGTGCATCTTCGTCCCAGTCATCAGGCTTCACGGCATTTGGATCAGGGATCTTGGCTCTCTCGTCCCAGTCTTCTGGTTTCTTGTCTTCAGGGTCAGGGATAGTCTTGGCAGGGATCAATGCAGGCTCAAAGTCTTCACCAGAGAGTAAATTGGCCTTTTTCTTTTCTTCTCCATCAACCAAAATTCTAACCTCGTTGTCGGGTTTTAAGATGGCGGTGTAGACATGGGAAAGCTTGTCATAAGGAACAGAAGGAGGGAACTTCAGATGGTGCTCAACGTACTCGCCACTCTTGGGATTCTTGTGCTTCAAGATGAAATGCACTTTGTTTGTGGCTCCACACTTGTCGGGACCAAACATAATGGAGTAAGGGGATTCACTATCGAATCCCTGTGGTGTCCATCCAGCTTCCTGAGGGCGGAGGTATTTCAAGTAAGCACCACCACACTCAAGTCCTTCCTGGAAACGAACCTCGTACTGAAGAACAACAGTTCCTTCCTTGAGGTTTAGAGGCTCGTCAAGCTCTTTCACAATTCCATATTTCCTAGCCTTCTCGCTCACGAGAAGTCCATAATCATCATGTCCCTCGCTCTTTGCATGCTTCCATACACCTGCAACATATATAAATGATGTTAACAAAGAAGCATCTATGCAACACTGGGAATTTAGCAACAGCTTCAACAAGGCAAATTAGTTGCTTATCCAATTCAAGTGTTCGAAACAAAAGACAAAACATGCAGACTTCAAATCAATACCTTCGTAAATCTTTTTATAAAATGCCGAGGTTTACATCTACATTTTCAGATTTGATTTAAAAATTCTCGAATTGTGATTTCTCTATAATGTTTGAGTGCAAGTAAGTAGTATATGAATCCCAAATACAGACGCAGATAAGAGAACAATACACTAACATCACAATGCAGTGAGAGTTTGAAGACAAGGAGTTTACCTTCGTATTCACCATTCTTCGAAACGATCCAGCGACCATCAAACGGTTCATCAAACGATTCATATAGAACCTGAAACAGAATAGAGGATCCAAACAAATTGAGCTCAGCTAAACAACAGTAGATCTAAATCCCCGGATCTACGAAGTATATTCAAACAATACTAGGAAGATCGAAATTACCGTTTGATCGTCACAGTAGCAAAGCTTCTGGAACGAAACGAAAGCTAAGAGAAGCAGAAAGACGGAGAATAGTTGCCGTTCTCTCATTCTCGGAATCCTTTGAAGGTAAGAGGAAACCTCAAGATAAGATCTAAATCGGTGAGAAACCGGAGAAGTAGATCGGAGAAAGAGTGAGATGTATTATTTTTCGAGATTTTTCAGTTTCATCTAAATAAATTATATATTCACTCCCGTGGACCCGGTCGAGTGTGTCAATTTGTTGTTTCCACCAATCACATCTCTCGCCACGCTTCGTTAACCAACCATAACTTGACACGTCAACCAAAAGTGAGCTCTCCTACGTGCACAGTTATATTGCTATATACGTGCACATTTAACAGCTAGTTGAAAACATAGTTGAGCATTATTGGGCTTCACGGTCCATTAAACTAGAGTCTCTGTTGGAGCAAGAGTCTCTATGCTCCTAATGATTATTGCATACATAGCTACATAGTAAACATACATTGATGCATTAGTTTTAGATCCAAACTTTTCAAGAAAATCCAAATAGAGATTGGCTAAGACAAAAAAAATAAAACTACTTTCTTTGACTCTGGCTCTCTGGCTATGACAAAACCTTACTAAATCCAGCATTCTTCTTCACTTTGTTATCTCTTTCAATCACTTCCCTAACCTTAACCACATCCTCCCATCTCTCTGCGTTTGCATACATCTCCACCATTACTTTGTACACTCCTCCATCCTCGGGACTCAACGCCTTGACTTGCTTTGCAGCTTTCTCCGCGATCTCTATGTTCCCGTGGATTCTACATCCGCCCAACAAACCGCTCCATGCTAATAGTTTCTCTCTTTTTCCTCCATCTTTAGGCATTTGCTCGATCATTTCCGCTGCTTCTTCGATCAACCCTGCTCTTCCAAGCAAATCCGCCATACAACCGTAATGTTTCAGCTCTCTGTTAATATGATACAGAGATCCCATTTCGTCAAAAAGGTTCCTGGCTTCATCAACTAGACCAGAATGGCTACAACCCACTAAAACGCTTATGAAGCTTACTCCATCCGGTTTGATACCAGAACTAACCATCTTACGGAAATAATCCACCGTTAGCTTGCCGTTACCATGCATCGCAAGACCAGTGATCATTGCGTTCCATGTGAACAAAGTTTTATCAGAACACAAGTCGAAGATCTCCATCGCTATTTCAATGAAACCACATTTTGCGTAGAAATCCACCAATCCAGTAGCTAGGAACGAATCTACGAAAAGTCTGTTGCTTTTCGTGTAATCATGAATAGCTTTCCCTTTATCTAAATCCCCTGATTGAGCACAAGCTGAGAGAGTTGAAACAATGGCGACGTTATCCGGTTTCAAACCCAAAGCAATCATTTCGTCAAAAAGGTTAATTGCTTCTCTGCACTGATTCATCTGTGCATACCCAGCAATGAGACTATTCCATGAAACCAAATCACGAAAGGGCATTGAATCAAACAACTCTCTTGCACGAACAATCTCACGCCCCTTCACTAACCCATCGATCAACACATTGTACGTAACAACATCTCTCTGGGGATTTTCGTCGAACAACTGCAAGGCAATACCGATTGGGGCAATCAATGAGTAAACACGAATCAGAGTATTCAAAGTGAACAAATCAGACAACAGTCCGAATCTCAAAGCTTGACAATGCAACGTCTTGACCAATGGAAGATCACAAGTCTTCTTTGCTGCACAAGCCTTGAATACGAAAGGGAAAGTGTGAAAATCTGGAGGAACAGAGCGACGTCGCATCTCCACGAAGAAACGTTGAGAAGACAAAGACGGGTCATGAAGTGTGTAAATCCTAATGATCGTATTGAAGCAAAACGTTGACGGGTTTGTGATGAATCTGAAAACCGAAGTCGCGTAGCTCAAGACCACATTTGACGCCGACGACGAGTTCGATAAAGTCGGTGCGACAGAGGTGATAGCGAATAGGACATTGGCGAAAACAGAGTTCTTGTTAAAATCATTTGTTATTCGGCCGGAAGTGATGAACTGAGCGTGAAACTGATGCAGATGTTTGAGGGTTGTACATAGCTTCACGAGATATAAACTACTACAATTTATCATTCAGACGATCTAAGAGCTTCACCAAATTCACAAAAGCTTTCTCTTACAAAGGGAAAAATCAGTTAATTTTTTTTTAGTGACGAAAGATATCTGCATACAACACTGAATACAATACAAAACTATTCTCTCGGGAAAATTTTGGCTAAATAAAGGGCTCTTTATAGACTTCACCACCAAACTACTGAAGAAGAATCAATCAAATCAAGGTGAATGACCTTTACCGAGTCCATTTGAAAGCCCCTATTATCTCAAGTGTCTTTTTCGCCATCATCAAGGAGTTTTCAGTGTTATATCTGTGAACACAACAACACTAGGTTTCTTGCTACTTTAGTTAAGGTCCAGATTTTTCTTCATAGCTTCATAAACAAGGTACGAAATGCTCGCGGAAGGAATGACTTTGAAAAAGTTGGGAAAGATTCCTCTGTAAAAACCTCTTAGACCTTCGCCTCTTAGTGTTTTCAGGAACTCCTGGCTCATGCTAGTCTTTGAGCTATCAGCTTGCATTCTGATGATAAGTGACTGAACTCAGTTTAAAACGGCAGAGAAGAAAAAGCATACAAGTTCGAAAAGATATAACAAAGCTTAGATTTGACTTTTTACCTTGTTCTTATGACCTGTAACGGGTAAACACACGATGCTCCAAGAGCACCAGACGTCATTCCACATCCCAGTTGAATGAGAGGACCAGGCTCTGCACAGCATATATGGTTTAGTAACATGTAAAAGATTACGAATTTAAAGGCACGATTAGTATCTCACCGGCAGTGTCAATATATGTCCTCGATAAGTCTTTAAGAGTTTCGTAAGCAGCAAGGTCAATTCCTGCGTAAGGGATAATCCCAATAAGAGAAGGGCAAAGACCCTTGTAGAAAGCTCGGGGTCCTTCTTGAATCCAGATATCCTTTGTGAGTTTCCACAGCTTTGGTGTCCCAACTTCACTCACAAAAGTCTGTAACCGAGTCTTCACAAGATCCATAGGATATATAGCCGTTTGAGCTACTGCACCAGCTAATCCACCTGCCAAAAGTCTCCCGCTTGTACCAATATCACCATCTGCTCCCCCAATTATGGGTTTCAGCATTTCATAAGCAGCAAACTTTATGGCGCTTTCAGGAGCAACTTTGGTTACATTCAACCCATTACCTCTGAAGAAACCCAACAACTTATCTTCTCTCCATATTTTTTTAATGGTCGGGACAACGCCCAAATTCGTTCGTTGAACTTGCAAAGCAACTTTCAGACGGTCCAGAGGCGCTGTTGCGGTTCTAGAAACAGCTCCAGCTATTCCTCCCGCAAGAAGTAATTTGCTTCTTTGAGCATGTGTACTTACACCGTCTGGTATAACAGCTTGCTCCCCAATGTCTATTAAGCATACCCTTTCCCAGTGGTGATAAATGTTCTCAATTGTGGCTTCATGAGGGTTTAGCAAAAGAAAATCCCTCCACTCCTCAAAAGTTATAATTCCATTGTTATCCTTATCAACATGATCCATAAAAGAAGCTAATTCCTCATCTTTAATTTTAATGCCTACACAAACATAACCGTGGAGTTTATATAGGTCATTGACACTGTTACACAATAACATTAAAGCTTTTGAGAAACGATAGCATGTAAAAGTAATAGAGCCAAATTTACCAATGGACACACTCACACACATATTGTTAATATGCTGAATCTCCTACTCAAAAAGTTTCTATTTTCCAGGGATCAACACACACTTCAATTTGCCTGAAGCACAAATCCATCTTATAGACAGATTAAACTGTCTTACTACTCAAAAAGGTCATCCTTCATTGACTCAAACATTTGCCTCCATAGCTATAAGTAAATGGCTTGCATAGTTGTAATCTAGAGCAGTTATAAGAAATATATCAAATAACCAACAGCGGAAACGCTATCAAGAACAGTTAAGAACAGTGGCTTTTTAAAATTCAAGTCACCGACCAGTCTATTTGCGCAAAATCCACATTCGTAAACCAATAAAAGTCTCCTCATTTGCTTAAAGGAAGATAGTTGCAACGTAACAGTAGTAGTAATGGAACAGTAGGAGAATCAAAATCACATACCAGCTTTATCAAGAGCCTCCCAAAGCTCCTCTGGACAAATGTCACCATTACGTTCAACATCAATAGCCTGGAAAATCTTGTACAGCTCAAGCTCCTTGGCGTCCATGTAACGACGAAACTCCTGGTAATCCACACAGCCATCTCGATTCGCGTCGCAGACTTTAAGAAAATCACTAGCGTACCTGTAGTTTGGAGGAATGCTAAGCGAAGACAGACCTTTCTCGATCTGGGTACCGTCTAAGAACCCTACTTTAGAATTGTCGAAGAACTCGAACAGTTTCCGAATCCTGATCTCTCTCTGCTCCTTGGTCTCGCGTAATGCCACCAGCACGTGCTCCATTGTTGGCTCCACGGGTGGCTTCTTAGCCGGATTTTGGTTTGATTTCTTCGTCTCCATTGCTGATTAACGAAAATGGAGAAATCCAGATGAGCAAAAATTCAAAAGATTTGAATGATTCTAACGTCTCTTCATTCCTGGAAGAGTAGAGTTTATTAGTCCAGGAATCTCGGAAATTTTCAAAATCAGAATCCAAAAAAGTTAATTGGACAAAACAGTTTTTTCTTTTTTTTTTTGTCTCTGAGATTTTGAGGTCGGTAAGCAAAAAATATCAGCCTCAAACTTCCATGGACAGCTGGAGGAGACTCCATTATTTTTCATTGACCACTTCAACTGTGTCTACTTCCAGACACACAAAAAACACCAGTCAAATAAAGCCGGTCTAGGTTGATTGTTAATTTTAACCGGTTTACCTGCTTTAAACCAGAATAAAACCATCTTTGGTCCAGCAGTGATAAAAAAAAAATCAAAAAAAAAAAAAATCAAAAAATATGATTTTAGCATGCTTTGATAGACGCTTTGTATGTAGGCCATTGCAATATCGTGTGAATGTGATATACTATCTGACACTGCAATTCTTACACGTAGCTGTTACAGAAATCATATTACAGGAAGACGACAACAAAATAATATATTTTATTCTTAATTATTATTCGTACACAAAGTCACAAACAATGAAACAAACTTCACTTGCAAGTAAAACATGTAGTCGACATGGTTTCACTCTTTTTTCATGTACTAAGAGATTGGTAACCATCTTCCCGGTTCTGTCTCCGGTATATCATGGCTGCTATTAGAACCACTAGCGCTACCACCACCGTCACAGCCAAAACTGCTAAGAAGCTCAAGCTTCTCGGAGGTACCTACAAGGAAGTGAAATATCACATATACTAACGTTAGTACATAGTCCATATGGCAAAATTTCCCAAAAGGTATCGGGTGGTTACCTGAAAAAGATTAGGCAAGAAGCTCTCTGGTTTAGGCAACTGTTGAGCAACGACGATGTAAAAGAGTCCCATCACTCCGGTATGACCAACGGCACTACTGTAATTAAACTCCACATTCAGCGTCTCTCCATAGCTCACTTCCACTGGATCAGTAGGATAACAAGTCGACATTCCAACAATGTAACCAGCTTCATTTCCAGGTTCAACTCCATTGCCATACTTCGGCATCGAAGTACATATTCCTTCACCGTTCTGTTCCACAACACATGAGTGAAGAGTCTCAATCCAATACAAATTTGTTTTCAATCTTTTCATTTTTGCAATAGCCTAAACTACCTCTCGATATAGAGCAGCACCGATACCACCCAAGTGCTGGTGTCCCACGCCGTAAATGATATACCCATTAAATGGCATCATAAAGCTGTTTTTCTTAACATCAATGCATCCATCGCCATTGGTTTTGCACTGTTTCACTTCGTATTCCACCTGAACAAGCACATAGACCAAGAAATTATTAGAAATTGAAGTCAGATTTAACAGAATTAAGGTAGTTCTTACTGACATGGCAATGATGTTCTTGGCTATCTCCTATTGATCCCTCTGGTTTTTTCCAAGAATCCGTAACATCGAGAACATAAACTTTAGCGGGCAAAACCTTGTTGTCCCAATCAACCCATCTCACGGTATACTTCAAATACAGATTTCTTGTTTTCTCCCCATTGTCAAATCCGCTTTTCACCCGACATTGAGTCTTATCATAGCAGCAGTATAGACCTCCTTTGTAGCCGGGTCCTATAGCTCGACCGTACTCATCAATGGTTACATTATACAGATCACACAGACATTCTATGCATCCTGTCCTGTCCTCCACACCTCTGGTGTCTATTGCGTGAACGTTAAGAAGCCATTTGAATTCATAGCCATCAGGTCTTTCCTCAGGATTATCGACTTCAATCGCATAAGGATCAGGAAGATACGTCGAGGTATTGCGGGTTTCTGATCCTGAACCAAAGAAATATAAGAGTGAATTCGTGCACAGCCCTCCGTTTCTTACAGGAATAGTATCTGATCCCGAATCAGGATTGCTTTCGGGATCTTGCCTTTGAAACCCATCATTCCTAAACATTTCTTGCTGTAGAAACTTCGAACCTATACGGGCATAGTAAGGTCTGAGCAACCAGTGGTGCAGATATGTCTCGTGTAGAGGGACGGGGTCGCCTGCTTCGTCAACCACTTCAGCGTCGAAACTCTTGAGGCCGATATGCCCTCTTGGGAAATCGATGTCGGATAAGAAAGAATTTGAAACTGATCCTGGATTCATCACTAGTTTTGGTGAGAAAAAGACTTCAGATTTTATCTTTTTCTCGGTTCCTAGAAAGCCTTGGCTCGGTGATATGATGGTTAATGCGAACAGAGCAAGAACTAAAAACAAGATCAATGACCTCCTGTGGTAACGAGCCATTATCTCCTGTTTCAATATTATATATATAGATAGAGGTAAGGAGTGTGGTTGAAGTACATGGTTGCTTGTTAGAAAAATCTAAAATTGAAAAACTTTTCAGCAACCAATGACTCAAAAACAGATATAATATGTGAAGCTACTATATATTTCATATCATCCTGAAGTACAAGTATAAACTAAAGTTGAAACCTGGTTTTAGATGATCCATAAACATAAGTGTAGACATTTTTAAAAATTCGAATGTATCTTATATATATGGTTTCCAGTTAGATGTTCTACAACCCAAAAAATTGTTTGTGAAACCAAAAACAAGAGATTATTGGATTGCTAAACCAACTAGAGAGAAACAAAGAAAGAGTGAGAGAAGAGGGGTTTACGTGGGTTAACAGAGATGACGTTTCCCGCTTCGAATGAACGAAGAAGAAGGATTCGAGAGTAATCTAATTTATTATGTGAATTATGTACGAAAAGCAAAGAGACAAGAGCTTAGTTGTAATCTGGCACGTGTCGTCGTCACTCTCGTCATTCAGTGACAGGGTACGTACGGTTTCACTTCCCACTTTATCTCCTGTTTCAAGTTTATATATAATAGTCCTTTGGGAGATATTTTTGTTTAGATTGTGAGGTGGTTATTAGACCTTGTGAGATATTTCTATTCTGAGAGTGAGATGGTTCTTTATTCAACTACTACGTCCCATCTGTCACAATTTTCACATGACCAAAAAAGTAAAGATCTGTTTGACTATGATGGTTTATTCAACTACTATACGTCCCACATTTATAAACTACGAATCATGTGAAGCTAAAAGAGCCAAATTTACCATTAGCCTCACTGAGCCAAGCTTTGTTAAAACCCAATAAAGCAACTCACAACCCACGGTTTTGTCAAAGATTAAACGAATGGATAATGCTTCTTACACTTTTTGATATGTAGATCATTTGCAACTTTGCAATATCGTGTGAATGTGATGTATTTGACAGTTCAAAGTTCTTACACGTAACTGTTACAGAAATAATATCACATCAGAGGAAGATGGTAACAAAATGATCTTTTATTCTTAATTCTTCGTATACAAAACAAACTTCTCTTTTCCTGTATGAATAAAAGTTACTGACGTATACAAACAAACTTCACTTTCAAGTAAAACATGAAGTCGACATGGTTTTACTCTCTTTTTTCATGTACTAAGAGATTGGTAACCATCTTCCCGGTTCTGTCTCCTGTATATCACGGCGGATATTAGAACCACTACCGCTACCACCACTGTCACAGCCAAAAATGCTAAGAAGCTCACGCTACTCGCAGGTGCCTACAAGGAAGTGACATATCACATATACTGACGTTAGTACTTACTCATATGGCAATATCTTCCAAACAGTACTACCGGGTGGTTACCTGAAAAAGATTAGGCAAGGAGCTCTCTGGTTCAGGCAGCTGCTGAGAAACGACGATGTAAAAGAGTCCCATAACGCCGGTATGACCAACGACATTACTGTAATTAACCTCCAAAGTGAATGTCTCTCCATAGTCCACTTTCACTGGATCGGCAGGATAGCAAGACGACATTCCAACAATGTAACCAGCTTCGTTTCCAGGTTCAACTCCATTGCCATACTTTGGTATCGAAGTACATATTCCTTCACCGTTCTGTTCCACAACACATGAGTGAAGAGTCTCAAATCATTTAAAGAGTTTCAACTTTATGTTTTTGCAGTAGCCTTAACTAAATTAGTTACCTCTCGGTACAGAGCTGCACCTATACCACCCGCGTGTTGGTGAGCTACGCTGTAGACAATATACCCATTAAATGGCATCATTAAGCTCTTTTTCTTGACATCAATGCATCCATCGCCATTGGTTTTGCACGGTTTCACCTCGTATTCCACCTGAAAAAGCACATAGACTAATTATTAGAAAATGAACTCGAAGTGACAGAATTAAGCAGATAGGAATGTTCTTACTGACATGGCAATGATGTTCTTGGCCATCTCCTATTGATCCCTCTGTTTTTTTCCAAGAATCTGTAACATCCAGAATATAAATTTTAGCGGGCAAAACAGTGTTGTCCCAATCAACCCATCTCACGGTGTACTTCAAAAACAGAGTTCTTGTTTTCTCCCCATTGTCAAATCCGCTTTTCACCCGACATTGAGTCTTATCATAGCAGCAGTATAAACCTCCTTTGTAGCCAGGTCCTATAGCTCGACCGTACTCATCAATGGTTACATTATATAGATCACACAGACATTCTATGCATCCTGTCTTGTCTTCCGCACCTCTGGTGTCTATTGCGTGAATGTTGAGAAGCCATTTGAATTCATAACCCTCAGGTCTCTCCTCAGGATTATCGATTTCAACTGCGTAAGGATCAGGAATATACGTCGAGGTTTTGCGGGTTTCTGATCCTGACCCAAAGTAATGTCTGAGTACTGCACCCCTGCACAACCCTCCGTTTTTTACAAGAATAATATCCGAACTAGAACCAAGACTGCTTCGGGGATCTTGCCTTTGAAATCCGTGATTCCTAAACATTTCTTGCTGTGGAAGTTTAGAACCTTTACGCACATAGTAAGGTTCGACAATCCAATGGTGCAGATATGTCTCGTGTAGAGGGACGGGTTTGCCCGCTTCATCAACCACTTGAGCATCGAAACTTTTGAGGCCGATATGCCCTCTTGGGAAATCGATATCAAATAAGTAAGAATTTGAAACTGATCCTGGATTCATCACCAGTTTTGGTGAGAAAAAGATTGCAGATTTTATCTTTTTCTCGGTCCCTAGAGAGCCGAGGCTCGGTGAGAAGGTCAATGCGAGCAGAGAAAGAACAAAGAAGAAGATCAACGATCTCCTGTGGTTACGAGCCATTATCTCCTGTTTCAAGATCATATATGGAGAGGTAAGAAATGTGATATATCTCGTAAAACTCATAACCATGAATAAAGTATACCAAACACTAAACCTAACTTTGTTTGATTTTGATTGGAAAAACTATCACAACCACTTGATTCCTAATTTAACCAGAAGTACATGGTTGCTTATACAAAAAAAATCCAAAATTTCAAAACTTTGCCAAGCAACCGATGACTCAAAAACAGATAAATGAGAAGCTAATATCTCATATCGTAATACTGAAGTAGAATCAAAATTCGAACAAGAAAATTGGAACCTGGTTTCAGATCATTAATAAACAGAGCTATACACTTAATATGACAAAACCCAAAAATTTGAACATGATTACAGGATAAAATATCCCAAAACCAAGAAATTCCATTGAGAAGTCAATCACAGAAGAAAAAAGAAATAAGAAAAAAAATTCAAAACCCAGAATTCAATTGCGAAAACAAAACACAGATGACAGATAAAGAGAGAGATAGGTTTACGTGAAAACGGATTCGGATAAACAGAGAATGACGTTTCCCGCTTGGAATTGAATGGATTGCCCAATGGAGAAGAAGGATTCCAGAGTTATCTATTTATCATGTGAATTACGAATTGTGCCAAGCGCAGAGACGTAAGTACCCGAGTATCTTTATTACCTGACACGTGTACCCAGTGACGTCCTCACTCTCGTCACAAACCCGGTTTCAATTCTCTTACCAAAGAAGATATTATCTTCTTCCGTAACCGGTTTGGGTATGAACCCACTCAATTTAAGATTTTAAAGCATACCAGTTATTATTATAATCGGAACTGGTGGATAAAATAGTTTCACTAAAAGATTTTGGGCTAATATGTGGTATTGATAAAAGTTGAAGGTCCTCATGACGAATTTGATTTCCTGCGGGCACGACTAGGAGGACAAACGGTGCACCCCAACACCAGGGACGAGAGCGAGGGAGTAAGACGATGACGAACAAGGAGAAAGCGCGGGAGAGAAGAGAGAAAAGGATGCAGGAGATCTCTCTCCTTCGAACGATCCCTTACTCTGACCACCACAGGTATGCATACTCTATCCTAATTTCTCCAATTGTTCGGCTGCTTTGTATCCATTTCTAGGTTCTCTTACAGTGGGATTTTTAACTAATGTATTAGGCTTTTAGCTTTGATTTGTCTATTTTTCTTCATTTGGGAATGGAGATTATTGAGCAAATTGAATTAGCATTCTTGGTACTTATAGATTTGGGGTTAATTAAACCAATGTATACTTCTGTCGAAACTGAAAATAAAGAAGTTCATGTCTTTGAAGCACTCTTCTTGATTTTGACTTGTGATTTCAGGTGGTGGTCTTGTGATAATGTAGCTGTGGTGACCGGTTCAAACCGTGGAATTGGACTTGAGATTGCAAGACAGCTTGCAGGTCATGGATTGACGGTTGTTCTTACAGCCAGAAACGTGGATGCTGGCCTTGAAGCAGTTAAATCCTTGAGGGATCAAGGAAAATTTCTCAAGGTTTATTTTCATCAGCTTGATGTCACGGACGCCTCGTCTATTAGAGAGTTTGCTTGCTGGATTAAGCAAGCATTTGGAGGTTTAGATATTCTCGTAAGATCCTTATCGAATTCATCACCGTAGAGAGCAGAGATCGTCTGCTTTATTTTCTTTCCTTGATTGATTGTACGCATTTTTGTGTTACTGTGTATTTCAGGTGAACAATGCTGGTGTCAACTACAATCTCGGCTCAGATAATTCGGTTGAATTTGCCGAGACAGTTATATCTACTAACTATTTTGGAACCAAAAATATGACCAAAGCTATGATACCATTGATGAGACCATTCCCTCATTGCGCTCGTATTGTTAACGTTAGTTCTCGGCTAGGTAGAGTTAACGGCAGACGTAATGTAAGCAACTCTTTCATTGTTAATTCTTACAACTTTTGTTATAGGAAACCTTTGTAAAACTCATGCCATGAAATCGTATGAATTACAGAGACTTGCAAGTCTAGAGTTGAGAGAACAGCTAAGCAATCCGGATTCACTGACCGAGGAACTTATAGACAGAACTGTCTCTGAATTCATCAACCAAGTAAAAGACGGAACTTGGGAATCAGGCGGATGGCCTCAGACATTCACCGACTACTCCATGTCTAAGCTTGCCGTCAATGCTTACACGAGACTTATGGCAAAAGAACTTTCTAGAAGAGGAGAGGAAGAAAAGATTTATGTTAACAGCTTTTGTCCTGGTTGGGTGAAGACTGCTATGACTGGCTACGCCGGGAATATGCCACCTGAAGATGCAGCTGATACCGGAGTTTGGCTTAGCCTGGTTCTTTCTGAAGAGGCGGTGACTGGAAAATTCTTTGCAGAGAGACGTGAGATCAACTTCTGAAGCTGTTGAAAGTTTGCAAATGTTGGAATATTATGTTCGTTTAGTGCCATTGTTTTTTTTAGTCAGATGGTTTTGGGAAACAAATCGCACTTGCCAAGTTTAGTGGTTATGTATGTATGTGTTTATGATATTGGTGTAGTCACAACTCACAACTAAGAACTGTTTTATTAAATCTATTTAGAGACTGGCTGTAATTAATAACCGACCTTAGCTCAGTTGGTAGAGCGGAAGACTGTAGTGTTAGCAGACAATCTTTAGGTCGCTGGTTCGATTCCGGCAGGTCGGATTTTTAAAATTTTTGATTTTTCCAACTAAATTGACCGTTTGACCCTTCGTTCATATCATCAGTTCCCACTTTCACTGGAATGGTTATAAACGGAAGGAGATCAAGAAATTTGTTTTGCTCGTCTCTCTAGTGAGATATCATATCATACTTTCAAATAGGATTCTAGTTTTCATTACAATGATGAAGCTATTTCCCCCTCTATATAACAAAAAAAAGGTTCTGAATCTACAAAATACAGACACAGGAAAAACAAAACCAACCAATAGAATCATTCAATCAAGTTCCAACTCTGGTCCTTACCAAGGTTTCAGATCAGCGACAGGTCCTGCCGTCCAGTTCAACAGCTTCTCACCTGGTCTAAGATACACACTCCTCTCATGAGGCAGCTTACGAGCCAACCCATTCAACACTTGATGAAACGCATCCCCTGGTTGAGCCGGTTGTGGGAACAGCATCGCCTGTTTCATCGACGGGTTTGCCAACAACCTCTGTTTCCTCAGTATAACCTCTGGTGGAATTGATGTAAGTATTGTGTCCAGGTAAGGAACATCCTTCTCATCCACAAACACACCAATATCTTCCCAAGGGATCGCATCTGCAAAAGGTAACACGATGTCATCTGCTATGATCACAGGGATGCAACCAAAAATCACGGCTTCCACCAGTCTTGGACTCCAAGGGGCCCATCCAAGTGGGCATAAGCAGAAGATTGCTCTCTGCATGTCCTCATAATATGTTGTTGGGTGCTCTGTTGAGATGTCAAACAGCGGATTGTCTTTGAAGTTTTCCCATACAGCTGCTCTTGCGCCCCTGTGCCCATATCCACAATCTCAAATCAGTAAAGCAATTTATGAACTGTTTAATGTGAATTCTGAAATTCTTTTAGAACATAGATAAGCATTCTAACAAGAAAATAGTTACCTCGCATAATAGCCACCCTCAGGATCATTTCCCACATCATAAAACAATCCTCTGAAATAAACAAAGATGGATCGAGGAGTTTTCTCAGGAATCAAATGTGACTGCATCTTCTGAGGTGGAGCATACGGAGGAACAGTGATGGAACCCTCTTTCAAGCAAACATGATTCCTTTGACCAAATGTCTGCACTAGTGTAGCCCGTTGAAGCAAGGGTAGTATTCCCCTTCCTATAGCCTTCTCTTCCTGCAACAGTCAGAAACAAACAATATATCACTTATGACAGGTTAGCAATATTCAGGACAAATATTTGTTACCACAACTCAGCATAATTATTTCAGCTGCATCAAAAAGGCTTTGCAAGTTGATTGCCATTATAAGTATGGAGGTATAAAGAAACTGAACACTAGTTATAGACTTCTGGTTCCTAGTATATTCCATGACGAAAAAGGGCACAACTTAACCCGAGGCCTATATGTAGGTATTAAGACCTACTGAACACTAGTTATAGACTTCTGGTTCGTAGTACATCCCATGATGAAACAAGTGCATAACTTAACCCGAGGCTCAGCAAGGATCTTTCAAACACAAACAGAAATGTATCTGAATTCGTAGACATGACTAGGAATTCAGTTAAGATGTTGTATGCAACAGTGATCAATTCACAACTTGCAGAACTGGAAATAATTCAGAGAACAAGTTCAACACCATTCAGGATAGTGTAGAAGCATTGGTGAAGCAAAGTGAAAAGCCTAATTAGAAATTTAGGATAGCAAGTACAAGAGAGATTCGGAGAAAATTATTTTGTTTACTTGATAATGGAAACAGGCTCCAAAGTCATGAGGCACTACAAAGAAGTGGTCAGCTCCTTCTGTCCGATTCCAGTATGGCCAGTTGGAAGCAATGAGCTGAATGGCACTTCTCATCATTCGTGGAGATTTAAAAGGGAGAGGAAGCCCATTAGGAGTGAGATCACAAGTGGTGTACACAGGGACGTAGAACCAATCAGCTTCCTCGGGATTAAGTGTTCGAACAGGGCTGGACAAAAGAAACCGTTGCATATATATCTCAGCAGCAAACATGTGGTTTAGACATCTCGGGTCTTTCTGAAGTATCTTCTTATTGTATTTACTTGGAAGCTCATAAACAAAGACTTTCAGTCTTCCCACAGGATCATCTTCCAACACATCACCAGCACTACCTAAATATCAGGAAAAAAAAAACAGAAAACAGACACACAATTCAATATTCACATGATTCTGCTTGAACATCAAATCACTGAATTCCAGAAACAATGACTAAACTGCATAGATGAGCTATAGAATGTGGAAAATAATGCAAAATCAAAGTAAAAGCTCAAAAACAAGATAATGAATCGGCTAACTGAGGCATGAATCTTGCATTTAATTGGCATCTTAGTTTAACATTTTCCCCCAGATTCAATTAGAATCCAAAGAGCAATGTGTAGAAATGAAAATCAAACATAGGAAACCTCGACCAAAAGATTAAAGCCTAGTCTTCATTTCGATTAGCAAACTAACTGATGACCACAAAAACTCACTAACGGAGAATCCCTAGAAGTCGAAGTAAAGAGCTGAATCCAAGTAAGAACATGAAATCAATTACTGAAATCCATAGATGGAGCTTCTCTGCAGAGATGGGAAGATAGAAATCACCTGAAATTCGCTCAGTTGGTTGACTAGGACTCAGACGGAAAGCAGAAATCGTCGAGAAGGTGAGGTTACAAACAATGAAGATCAAAACCAAGCTCGATAACTTCATTTTCTACCTCTTGCTTCCCTCAGAACCACCTAGGATCTTCAAAATCCGAGATTATCGGAGGCAAACATATAAAGTATATAAAGATCGACGGAGAACAGTTGAAATGTCAGAGATTAAGGTAGTAGTTGCTAAAAACGAGTTCGTCGAGAATGAGACTTCGAAAAATGGAACGAAGATAAAAAAAAATCGCAACCGATTTTGGCTAGATCACGCCCA